TTTTGTTTTTCTATGTAAGTAATACCTCAGGAACAAAACCAAAACGGGTACTGTAATATTTTTAGAAGTATGTTGATTCATTATTTATGAATGGCTAATAGCACCAAGGTTAGATAGATGTATTCACATCAAATCATATCCGAAACATCCCCTAGATAAATGAAAATTATTGATGACATCCCAGACATTAAATAAACACTACTAATGAAAATACTATGTGAATTAATTTACAATCCCCCATGAATTTATTTTTGTAGTTGTTGTTATTATAAGTAAATAAAATGATAAATATATTTTATAAAGTATTTATTTATATCAAATTAATTGTATTCACATAAGAATCTGTGATAAAATTGATGGTTAACGAGCAAAGCGGAGAGTAAATGCTTTGAAAGGAATGTATTTTTTAAACCGTTTTACTGTCTTCATTGAGACTCCATAAAAACGCAAACTGGCTCAAAAAACCATTACTTTCAGTAAAATAATTATTTTTTAGGTAATGGTCATCCCAAAATAAGAATAAACTGTAAGACGAATATGAACGAGGGGGATATTTCACGTTCAATTAGTTTGATTTAGTGTCACAACTGAGTACTGACTTGGGAGACAAAATACACTTTGCTCTCCTGAGAAATCATCAGTTGAAATGTTTCATTACTCCCATTCTCGTAACTCTCATTCGAAATCTAACCTTATTAATGCAACATCACTGCATCTAGGGTAGCTGTCGCGTACACACAACACGGGCGTTTTGTCGAAGAAAATCCTGCTCCATAGGCAGTGATGCTATATTACTTTCGAATTCTCACCCAACTCCTCTTGTGCCTCACGCACTCGCAACCAATAAGGGTCCGAATCAGCCCAATGGCGTCAGCAGCGGGGCATTGAACTCTTCCGCCACACCGACACTATGCAGCGCAAGCCTAATCTACGGTTGCGTGTAATGCAAATAACACTTTCTCCTTCTCATACACGCCTACCGGTCCAGTCTCTGGGCAACTCCGGAGACACGTCACCTGAGGGGCGAAGCAATTCCGTAATGAGTCCATTGGCTCGTCACAGAGAATACGTGAATAATTGCAAGTTCAAAGCATCAAGCGTTCAAAGCGACTGTTGGTGAGAATGTAGTTTATGAGAGACGGCGTTCGTAAATGCATGTCCGTATTTAATACAATTGACAATTATATATGAACATTATTCAAATTCTTACTGTTACAATTCTGAAGATAATTATTACAATTCATGCTAGCCCACTCCCCTTCAACGTTATGTCTTAACTAAATGTATTGCAATAACCTCCACCACTCCTCCCATCGAATGTTAACAGCAACGTTCCAAATTCGTTGTTGACGGTTTGGTGGTCATCAGTTCAAATATAACGACCCGATCCTTTATACATCATTACGCCTCCTGCACGTACATTCTTTTCATTATTAGGAGCTATACTTCCGCCTTCCGGTGTGTCGTCATACTGTGAGCGTCCGTCCGCGGTCTTGATTATTTACATCTCTCGTCCTGCCAACCTGTATGCATTGACGTCACCCCGTTTGTATGCATAAACTAACATGTACACACCTAATATTGAATAAATATAATTAATACTGCTGTATAATTAAACATGGGGGGGCGCTTGTGTTTCGTCACAATATGATGAGCTACCGGCACACAAAGTGGGTTCGCGGCAGGTTTCCTCTGGTGGTCGTCGGAGGAGTTCATGGGCCCCACATTCCGACACTGCTGCTACTTCTTCCGAATCTGTACATCATTCCCTTACCAAATATTCTTTGATGGAGAAACGCAGTCTTAAACATATAAAGTATGACTTGAACTTCCATCATAGTTGAATCGAATCTTTCTGACCTACTCGTACCTCCTTATTCTCCCTACTGAATTCTAAGCTTTGTATTGTGTTACATTATATTTCTTGAACCTATAATATAGATAACATTTATGATAACATTATGTGAAAAATCATGACAATCATAAAATATTTTGTTATTTGTTTTCAAAATTTAAGAGTATAAATATTTGACATGTTAAACTGCAGCAAAAAGTTCCACATTTCTTTCCCAATAATAGCACTTTCACTTGTTCCCTTCCTTTTGGGAATTAACTAAATTTACTACTGTAAACATTACTATACGAACTCTTCGATGAATCGACCTTAGGGGGATCTCAGAAACTTCGAAGTTTCGTATTCAAACTCTGATTCGAAAAACAAGCGGAAAATGCATCACCTTTAATAGCTTACAAACAAAGAAAACAGTAAATCAAAAAAATGAGTTAATAATATATTAAAATATATAAAAATATGACATAAATGAACAATAAGTAAAATATACACATTTTAGTGCGGCCTCGGAGGCAGTCTTTTGTTCGTTTCGCGTCGGCCGCCCCAGTCTCCGCATCCGCCCCGGGGCCAGAGGCCTTGGGCAGTGGGCGGCGGGGGCAGCGGCGGGGCCGGAGCAGGGCGAGTCGCACGCCGCCCGCCCCCCAAGGCCGTGGCCGGCGCCCGCGGGCCGCGCGGCAACAAACCGGCAACTGCCCCTTCCCCCCGCACCGCTCCTCGCCCCGCCCCGCCACGCCCGCGGGCGCCGTTCGCCCACGCAGGTGGTGCTGCTGCACCGACGACCACGCCCGCGACGCCCTGGTGAGGCGGCCGCCACCCAACAGCTGCCATTCACATAGAAACATCAACATGAACGCGGGGACATATACATTTCGCATCAACACATAGTTCGCGTTGCCATTCACAATGGCATTTTGACACGAACATCGAAATATAGGAACTGATAGACAAAATACTCAAATGACATGCAAGTAAGAGCAAAAAAAAAGTTTCTAAGGAAAGTGAAAATTGTGTCATCGAGTCGATAAAACTGTAATTCTCAAATAAAATAATTAAATTCACATTTTAATATTTCCTTTTCCTTTCATGGAGTGTATTGATGTTTCTTCTCTCGAATAGCTCCAACACCAACATGAAAGTTTTGACCTTTGATCTTCATGAAAGTTTTCGAATCAGCGTATGATGATAGTGCTCACGTGAAAGTCATTGAAATATATTGCAAATAATTTATTCAGATAACCAGTTAGTAAACTTCCCAATCATCTTTAATTTACTGAAATTTTAATGTGTATCTGCACTTGAGGCCGAATTCGTGGTTCTCATTCAGGAAAAACTCAAGCTATTATTCATTATGAAGTCAGTCAAGTTCAATTTTATTGACGGCTCATAAAAAAACAGAATGAAAATTATCGTAATTGTGTACGGAAACGTGATATTATCATAAATTATTTTGCAGCCATTTTGCCGCATAGATTTAGCTAAATGATTCATTGAGTTATTGTAGGCAATATGTAGATCAACATTTCTCTTGCAATTTAAAAAACTAATGACATCGACAAGTAATGTCTCAGAGCACAAATTTGGAATACACCCATTGTATGATACTCCGAAATTTATCATAAGTAAAATAAAAAGAATTGTTATGTAACAAATTAAAGGAAACATTCTACTTCATGAATAATAGATTTTCATTTCTTGAATAATAACTCCTGTTTTATATAGTATCGTAGGCTTTCACCGTGTCTTTATTTTTATGTTTAAATTGACCGTTTAGTGTCCAAAGTACTTAAGTACTCAAAGAGAACAGTTTAAATATAATGATCCGTTGTTTTTCGACAACTTATTCTGCAATTATTGCCTTGCAGTAAAACAGATTTAACTGTATTGATACAACGTGCTTTTCCAGTAATTTCAAATGTCGAGGGAAACGAGCATTTAAGAATAGTGTTTTAATGAAGGTTAGATGCATAACAAAACCTAGTTAAGACCAACAGTTGTTTGTTTGTCATTAACATCGCTTGCTGCGCTGTTTTTACTACCCACGTTTGAAGAACACTTCGGTTTCGGCTTGCTCATTTGTTCAGAGTCGAAGACTATCTTCACATCTCTCACAGTAAACCGACAAACGCAATAACCTTCATTTTGCACTTGGTCAAATGTAAGGGCAAATGACGAATGAAATGAACACGAAAGTATGAGTCGTTGGGCCACCTTTAGCCTCTAAAAAGAGAAATGAAGGATCAGCTGTAATTTTTTGTTGTGATACTGTTATTTTAAGTTCAATTGGTCTCAAGCCATCAGAAATATTTATTCCAAACCTTCACATATATGTATATACGTATACGTACGGCACTGAAATTAAAATAATGAAATAAATAAAAATAAATACGGAAATAAATAAATACATAAATATAAATAAATAAATACATGAAAATTAAATAAATAAATAAATAAATAAATAAATACATGAAAATAAATAAATGTCTTTATTGATGAAGAGGCTCAGGCCATTTAGCTTGCTCTTCTGCCTGACCATTTTGAAACAAATTTAATACAATAGTTAATAAAATGAAGGTCATTCAAAGAGAAATACGTACGCAATACGGATGAGGGTTTTTTTCACATTGAGGTCAGGAATGTTACAGTGTTTTTCGGAAATTCCAGAGCTCGCGATGAACTTTCATGGTATCTAGTATTTACAACACCACACTTCTCCACTAAAGACGCATTGCACTAAAATTCCACTATAATACCAAATGAAATATTAGCATTATTATTTTGTAATACTAAATGTCAATAATAAATATCCTGACCGACAAAATTTCAGAAACGTGTAAACAACTCGGCAGAAATACGCTGTGTTTTCAGTCGTGTATCAAAAATGCTTACATGAAACCTCATGTTTTGACTAAACAATAGGAATCACTAGTCGTTTTAGAAAGTGTTAAGTAAGGTACTTCTCAGAATGAATTGATCAGATCATCTTTCAATATGAACCATCGACTACATTCATCCTTAAAAAAATCAACGAAGAACTGACATCAAGCATACCCGTTTGATCTTTCCCATCCGATGAATTTCCGAGTGCTAGACGTACCGTGCGTCAGTGGCACGGCCTGTCGGAGCTCCTTCGAACCGCCCGAGTGCAATAATGAGGCGAAGTATCGGACCGCGTGACGCGGCCTCTGGCACGGTCGATCACCTTCGCGATACCTTCTCCACCCCACCCCATCCAATTCCACCCTACCCCACCCGAGCGACGAACGTGCTGAAGGTGAGGGGAAGGAGGGAGGGGTGTCCTCGAGGAGGCCTTGCTGGCCATTCGATCGAGCGACGCGGAGCGCCTGCCGTCTGCGAGGGCAACGCAACCCGCATGACGTACCTGCGGGCGGGTAGCCAGGGGCAGGCGCACGACAATCGATAAAGTAGCATTGCGCTACTGTTCTGCGAAGAACCCTCACCCCCCTTTTCCCTCATCTCTCATTTTTAAAGAGACACTTTTTCTTAACGGAATCAAATATTTCTGAGATAACAAGAACTAAAATTTATTCATTATGTTCCTTTTAAATGGGCTGGAAAACAGTATTTTCTTCAGTTTTCCAAATTGAACATTGACGAATATGTGGAACCCTGATATTCTATTGAAAAAAATTGCCCGTTTCGATATTAGCTTCCGACTCTGATGTGTGCGTTTTTAAAGTATTAAAACAACACAATATTAAATACAAAACATTAAATACACACTCGTTGTTTCAGACATTTATCATTTACAACAACTTCTCAACGATTTTAACGCAACCGTAGTGTTGTTGCTAATAATAATTGTTCTATGTACGGTTATCTTCAAATTCGAGAAAATTGCCTTTAAAACCATATTAACTCTTAATTGATGTTTTCAATTTTATCCTATTGCCTTATTTAAGCTACTTTTACTTTAAAAGGTTATTGGAATATTTTTTTACCTATTCAAGCTATAATTTTCACATCAAACTATATAAAGATTTCTTGGTGTTAATGCATTAATATTAATATAATTTGACGAAATATTGTAACTTCAGTCTTAAATTATTAAATAGAATGAGATACAACGAGGTCTGGTTCTGAAAATTTCTAAAATATAAAATTTATATCATATGTTGTTTTCGCTTTTCCCGTTCTTTCGTCGCCTTATTCTGGGTAAGGTTTCACTCTTAAATATCATTTTGTCTCTTTCTGTAATTATTAAGAGTAGACAAAGGGACTACCATTTCTGAGTATGACTCAGAAGAATAGATCAGCCTGAGTTACATAAGATCGTCATAAAATGGCGATTATCGGGAATCATCCACCTAAATTGATTTTTTAACGTATCAGACAGATATGACTGATATGTCATATTAGTCATATCTGTCTGATCATGTTAGAACTGCAAATTCAAAGTGAAGGTTTTGGGAAACTGTCAAAACTGTTTCGTTTATAAGATAATTACTGAAATGAAAGATTTTATTCTTTCAATTCATTTCATTTTCACAGAGAGTGTAATTTTATCAGCAATTAAAGTGTTTAATCGTTCATATTAATATTTTTGATCGGTTCTGATGTAGGGTAGCAATCTCTTTCGAACGCTCTAAAATTTTACCCTTCCGTACTTCCTTCCAGAATTCCACGATTTTACATGTTCGTCACTGCAAACAATCGTGGTCTAATGACGTATCCGTATCGAACTACATACGGAAAGAGTAGATCGCGTGACTCTCTCATATACGAGAGAGCGATGTATCTATAACGAGAAGGATGTGGTGTTCCGCTTTTATGTGCGGCTTCTGCATTACGCTCGAATATTTTTGACCTCTTATTGTAGTGCAGCCTTGATTCATGACTTCAGTCTTGTATATTATCTCTTCAGAAATAATATGAACTTCAAATTGGGGACATCCAATCCATACTTTATTGCTGTTTTATGAAATACATTAATGTTTTTCGTTGCTGCATTCGAGCGTCCCTAGCTTAGGTGTTTTCTTAAAACCTTATTCCTACGCACATGGCAAAGGTGGTTCAGAGCATTAACTGATGTCACTGCATTGACTCTCCGGGAGGCCCTGGAGTTCTAGTCCCGACGATGGCAGGATGTTTGGCACTAGGTACGTCGATTTTAGCCGCTGACTGGAGAGAATTCTAACGGCCAATAGCTCTGACGGTATAGTTTTCCGTTGTTTCTCCAATCATAATAAGGCGAAAACGGGAGCAACGTACCCTAACAAATGGCCCATTGGCCGCGCGCGATCTTTCTTTCCTCTTCCTTCTCCTATCTTGACCTCGTACTTACGCTTACAGTTACATGTACTTTACTACCATACACACCGGGGGACTGTCCGGGAACTTAAGAGCTTGTCCCGCCTGGGGCGGTGCCCCTGGTGAGAGATTCCTTGTCAGAGAAAATCCCTCCAAGCCGGTGTAGATTTCCGGCGGATCTCGCCAGCCAGTGGGGCCAAGATTTCACCACCTTCAGCGGTACAACATTCACTACTCTTACGGGACTAATGACCTTAGCCATTGACGCGCCTGAAATTACTATTCAATCAACCAATCTAACGCATAAGTGAAACATTAATACAACTTTATAATAGTAATGTTCTATTGAGATAATGTAATCATACAAAGGAATGAAAGTCATTATCAGCCAGCGTCCATTGAATATTTTACTGACTTTCTTCCGTTAAGAATAATAGAAAAGTTTCATATAATGCTCTATTAACATTCCTATTCTGAGCAAAGTAATTCATTACTTATGATTTTTTCTTGTAAGTCGGCGGTGTTTCGAAAAACATTCAACGAGACTGGGCTATAACACAAATAACGAACTTGATTGGTTACAAACCTCGGCTGCCGCCTCGGATTGCTAACTTCAACTCAGTCCTTTCCGCTCTTCAGTAGCATAATGACGTTAGTATCTACGAAAAAGAAACTAAGCGTGCATATGACTGGTTTCGCAAACCGCCGCTTCGTTGCTTTAGCGTGACCGGCTGCGCGTCGGGAGGGCGGTGAGGAGAGCTGCTCCCCTCGGGGCGCCCTCAGCCGGCGGGCGAGGACTCGCACCCGGAATAGCCCTCGTCAGTCATCGACCTCACGCCGCTCCGCCCCGCCCCGTCCCGCCCACTCCCCCTATATGACCCCAATAAAAACAGGCACGCGCATGCATGGCCCTTGCGAGGACACGTTAAAATACAATAAAATTCGTCCAAATTTTAGCTGAGAAAATGCAGTGCTTTTGTTGTAATACCACGACCATCGGACTTCCTTTGCAAGTCAGATGGGCGTCTCCCTTTGGCCAAAAAGAACGAATCCGAACTGAAGTCTTCGTATTATCTCCCGCTAAATGCCATTTACCTTCTTCTCCTCCTCCTCCTCCTCTCTTCGTCCTCGTTCTTCTTCTCCTCGACCTCCTTCCTCTTCTTGTTGCTATTCCTTCTGGTCGTTTATTTTCTATTTATTGTAGTACTTCGTCGTAATGGCATTTTCACGAAAAATAAACTATGATGTATATGGGAATTAGTAGCCAGTAGCGGTTTTGAAGATAAAACCACAAAAAATGGTTTTCCAAAAAGTGGCAACCACACTGTTCCAGAATAATAAATAAAATACTCTCATAAAACACTATAGTAAATATTTTACCCCAAAAATATTCACGAATACTGCAATAATATTCGTATGCTTAATATCTCGTATGGATATACAGTAGAATAGTAGAGTGTATTCAAGAGTACTGTTCATACCTACCGTACCGAGAATATCACAAACGTTGCTAATCCATAAAGCAACAATGAATAATCAATATTTCATGGCGAGCGGCCTCTTCCTTGGATTCTTGATGTTGCATTTCGGCAGCTGTGCCTAAGAAATGCACTTAGTACGAGATTTCATTCGGTACTGCAGTATCAGAATAGGCGGCATAACGCAATCAAATGTTGTCATTTTTCAATCCTAATCGAAACCGCCTTATTGTTTTTTTGATTTTTCACGATTTCTTACGTATCTAACAAAGCCACAGATACTTCAATGGCCGGAGGCTGCTTAGTTATCTTTCAATTTTTGTGTGCATTGACAATTATTCATATAGATCATATTTTGCATTTTTATGGATAGATTATATAACGAGGAGCAATGTGAGATCTGCCTTCCATCCCATATTTTACCGTAACAATATCATCGTCTTGCTAGAGCATGAAGCACAAATCATTTAGTGCAACATCATCATCTCGACTCCGAAACAATTTTTGTCACAGGGGAAATGTCGCAAACAAATGAAAAAGCATTGGAATTCCAGATACGTTATATTTAATGTCTGCGTAAGCTCAGTTCGTTAGCTATCGTCCCTAACATAAGATATTGTTTTTGGCATGTTACTCTAGCAACTGTGTAAACTAAAGCAAGACAATAAATGCTCGTATTTGCATGTAGTGATTTCGACAGACGAAATCAAACGCAGATTTTGATAGTTTGTACGAAATTGTCGGAATATTTAAGAAATTTTCCAGTATGATGCAATAGTAAAAATATCAACATATTTAAATATCGAACATATTTGTTGTGACTTGTACAACATGCGTCTTTTTTTAAGAAACAGCTTAGAACAAGCTCGAAAGCGAAGTGAGGAAAGGCAGAGAAAGAAGCCTATGATATAAAATTTTCTTAATTTCCCCCGTCTCTTTGCTGCGGAGTTTTTGTCCTCGGACGCCGCACTACCTAGATGTCTACCTCTATACACTATCGATGTAGTTCTGGACAGTTGGTTCATTTCACCTTGAAGCAACACAATGGCTCTGTACAAAGTGCGCCGAGTTCGAATCTTGCTGCTAAGACATGTGGACGTTGGGTCATGGCGAGCCAAGCACAATATCGATCCCTCAATGGCGGAGCCACAAGCTACACACCTACTGCAAAGAACAAAGCCCTTGAGAGTTCGGTGGCATGCCTGAACTCATGGACCTCCAAGAAAAACATTACGATTTCCCCTGTTCAAAAACATTCAGATGTCCAACAGTTCGATTTCTGTTGCACAACTAGTGGTGCTACAGAATGACACAGACTTTCTCGTGGTAAAGTTTTATAATTTCCTTGGTGTGGGCTAGATTTACGATCCTACCTCATCCTCTGGCCAACTGCCATCTATCGTCGCTCAAACTACATTTTTGAAAATTTTCTCAACTGTTTTCGGTTTCCTAATGGAAGATTCGAAATATTACTTTTAGAAAATTAAAGAAGAGTAAAACCTTGTGCTACATGGAAATTTTGTTGAAAAATTTGGAGCACACTTTAAGAAAAAAACGTTTAAGCTCTAGTATAAATGCGAAATTTGAAGCTCTATTAACTGGAATCTCCTAAGTTTTCAAAAAACTTAATAGAAAGTCATTTGAAACACTTGCACTCACAAATGCAGTAATGTATACAAATAGCTGGAAATGTGCATGTTAGTGCCATAAGAGATATATAAAAAACAATCTTTTTTAAATATTTGTGTAATTTAAAAAAACGAAAACAATCAAATTATTTTTTATGTTATCTTAAACAGAGCAAGTAGCACTATTCACACGAAAAGTTTGAAAAAAAATTGGAACCGTTTTTTGAGAAAATTGCGTTTGAGAGTTTGCGAAAATGCAGAATTTCGAACTCATTTTCACAGAAAAGTTTTGAGTTTTCTAGGAATTTTACAAGACATGATTTAAAGCACATGCATTCGTGAATGCAATAATGTGAACAAATCTCTGCTAATGTAAATGTTACGTCGTTAAATGGTAGTAAAATATACATTTTTGTAATTTTTGAAAAGAAAAAAAACAAAAGAATATAGCAAAATGGTGTTTACGTCATATGATATATGAAATTCAGCACTAAGCCTACCAAAATTTTGAAGAGAAAATGAATTTGAAAATATCTTGTTCTTTTTTAAAACTGCACATATTGCGCCAAAAACTACTAAAAGGGTTCAAAAATGAACATTCCCTTAGTAAAATAACGAATACGGGGGAAAAATTATTTAAAGGAAAAATCTATATCTTCAATTTCAAAGTTGTAGGAAAACACCGAAAAAAATCAAACTTTTGCAATTTTAGGAAATTTAGGGCAAATAGTGCAAATAACACATATGCCACATTTATAAGTGCATTTTACTCTATTCATACAAGAAATGTAAAGAAAAAACTTGGAGCCACTTTGGAGAAACTTTGAAAATATCATAGAGGCTTCATGTAAACTTTACCTACCCCCAAAGATCGATGTTTTTCAAAATCGGAGCTTCGACTCAGACCAGATGGACTGGGCTTTATCCCGTTTGGAACAATTTCTACGCTAAGTTCAGGTGCTAGTGCTGTTCACGTACAGCAGATAGACGGAAAGATGAACGATTAAAAAACACTTTTTTTGATATCAGGGGTTCCCAAAACTAGTATTTTCGTTGAAATGTCGAAATCAATTTTCCGCAACGTTACAGAACTTTCTCTATACTACGTATATTACTCCGTATACGTACTTATACGAGAAAGTAATAATGGGCATAAATCTCGTACCTACGAGTTTTCCTTCCATTCAGTAAAGGCTGTCATGGACCTTTACTTTGCTCCAGAACAGAGAATGTAGCTTCTCTGTTTTCACGTTTCTCGCGTTTTCTTGGGCTCTCATTGGGTAGTAGCGAGAGGAGAATAAAGCATAGCACGTTTGGTGATACAAATTCTGTCTACTACACGGAAATGACTATGGCGTATGTTTCCTGGAAAAATTGGTACGTGATGGCACATTTCCAATTTCATTTTCGGAATAAGCATATGTGATTTAGTAAAGAACATGCACTTTCTTCTCGCTGCAAGTCACAAACTCAAATTTCTTGCACTGTGTAATCCCATTGCTGCCATAAAATTTTATTTCTCCTGTTAGAGTTTCTTCTTCACATCAATAAATTACACTTGTCTTTCGATACGTAATTAATTTATTCAATCCATAGATCCAGTTCACAACTCTGCCAGGAGAAATGATTCCATTTCTTCCCGTAACCATCACATTCTTTCCAATCAACCACGTTACCAGCCCCCCAGAGTCAATCAACAACGTTCACATTTTTCTTCAAGGCCCCCTCGACACCCCATCGTGTCTCAGATCGCGAAGCGGTCGTATCGGAAGGCTGTGTAATATGCCGAACCCGCCACAATCACCTTATATCTTGTGCCCATATCCCCCCGGCGTCCGATTGACATGAACATCATTTCCTAATCTCGACCTGCAAGATTCAAGGAACTGCGACTTTGGCAAAATTCCACAACATACATTTTCGCACTGTCCTTTTAGATTTTATAAAGGTGAAACCAACGAGCTCATCGATCTAAAATCTATTGGAATTAACGAGTGGTTGAGTGAGCGGGATCTCATTTACATATAGAGTACGGAATGTAGACTTTATAATACTGAGAAAACCGCTTTTAGCAAAACTCAACGGACCAAGCATATCCTTTCGTTACAGGGAATTTTCTTTAAATGGAAGATTTGCTATTTACGTCTCACTTGAACACCATTTTGATATTCTTGCTAAAGATCTGTTGTACTGCGATTCCGTATAGATTATACTATATTAGTGTAGTAATCGTGAAGACTGATTTGGTTAAATATTCAATTTATTTTCGTGTTATTCGGGAGTACTTTCTTTGTTGGTGTTTTTGAGCGGTATGAGTGCTATTGCATGGAAAACCATATTATGTGGTTTTGTTGAGTAATATTTTTCCGCCTGAGGGCCACTAGTATTATAAATCGGGTAGCCTATTATTTGATATTTTTGTATTTCTTCTTCTAAAAGTCTTAGAGGAAAAAATAATATATTTCCTGCTTTAGGTCATATTTCTTGTTCCAGCACCCATTTTTCTTCTCGGTCCACTAATGTCCCTTTTTCCTTCTGTCGTGTAATACACACCGATGATGGATGTCGGTTTTCTGGCATTCTTATGTGATTATATCATTTAGTCTTATTTTAAGTTATTTCACATTTAGTGGAGCTATTATTTTGGTGTTCTCTTCGATCCGATTACCGAGAACTGGATGTACTTAGCGAAAAATTAATTTCTGCCGCTTGATAGTGATTTTTTTCCTTTTCCACGAGCATCCACACCAAGCACAAGAGCGGAAAGTGGTTTCGCTGCGAAACGTAAGTCACGTCGCGTTTGGTTTCTCGCAAATAGTTTGGAATTTTAAATTTGTTTGCCTTTATCTAAAGTAAAACATAAATATTATTCCAAGTACTTTAAGTACTAAACTTGTTTCAGGCCGTATTGTTTTTGATCTCTCTGAATTTTTGCTTGAAAATGGCACAAGGAGGTATTTGTGGTGCATACTCTTCAAGGATATTTTTGAATATCAAACTAATAAAACAGGAGCGTCTGTCTCCTCGAGCGCACTGTGTGACGGGTGCGCTTGTTGTGGGTTGCAGCTGCTGGAGCAGGACCGACATGCGCTGCGCCGCCGCCTGGCCGCGCTGCAGTCGGAGAGCGACGCGCGTCTCCTGGAGGTGCAGAGCGACCTGGCGGCCGTTGGCGCGGCGCTGGCCGAGCGCGAGGCGGCGCTGCGAGCGGCGGAACGCGAGAAGCAGCAGCTGGTGGCGGAGCTCAGCGAGCAGAACGCGCGCCTCGCGCAGCAGCTCAAGGAGGTACGCCCCTCCCTGCACCCCACCTACGCACACAGGCCCCCTCATAAATGTCCCCAAACCGAGAGAGATGGCTCACTGATATCACGGCAGTCCCCGTGACCGGCAGGTCCTAGGTTTGAGTCCCAACGGTGGCTGGAATTTCGACATTAGCTTGTCAGCTAGGTCAAATTCAGCCGCTGCCTGGAGGAGAATTCTAGAAGCCGCGGCTGCTCTAATCGGTAGTTTCTCTGATCAAAACCAGGCGAATGTCAGAGCAGTGCCCTAAAAACGTGCTACGGACGGCGCGCGGTCTTTCCTTCCTCTTCCTTGTCACCCCTTAAACACTTCCCGGGAGGCTGGTCGGGAGCTTAGAGCTTGCCCCGGCTGGGGCAATGCCCCGCTGGTGGGAGATCCCTGGTTGAAGAAAATCCCCGCTTGGCGGCGTACGTCGGTGCCGAATCTCGTCATCGGATTTCGTCATCCAGCAGGTGACGATCACCGCCACCTCCCGTGAAAAACATGCGCTACACGTACGGGACCTGACGCGTACGTAATTCTTTGTGACGGGATCTGACGCGTCCGGAATCACCAACGATCAACCAACCGTATATCCCTCCAACATCTCTGCATCGGTACACAAATCACAGGTCTTCCGCCACCCGAACATACATACGCCCACACTTCCCTACATTGATTCCCATACGCGCACACACTCCCCCACATGCAAAGTTCCTCACAAACGACGGCGTACATGCTACACACATGCGCCCATTTACACCCCTCTACATCAATACAGCCATGTGCATACTCTGTCATACATACGCACGCACCAGTTGCGCCACCACATATCCACGCCCAAACATTCATATGATCACACTAACGTTCACTGTTGTCCACATTCACACGCACTTTTACACACACACACACACACACACACACACATACATTCCAACGTTTATATTCACTTACTTGTAAATACGTATTCTCAATCTCACGCCCACACATATACTCACACAAGCAAGAACATTCCATTCTCAAAGGAGATACGTAGACGATATTAATTAATTAAATATTCATGACTTTATTTATATTGCAATATCTAACCATCTGGCTCTCATTCTCTCAATCGGTTACCTGTAAAGAAAGCAAATTATTACAAATGAGTAGTTAGCGCATCCTGAAATAAATGTTTCTCAAGAAATAAATGTCTGTCTGTCTGTCTGTCTCTGTCTGTCTCTGTCTGTCTCTGTCTGTCTCTCTGTCTGTCTCTCTGTCTCTGTCTCTCTGTCTGTCTCTGTCTGTCTCTGTCTGTCTCTGTCTGTCTCTGTCTGTCTCTCTGTCTCTCTGTCTCTGTCTGTCTCTCTGCCTCTCTCTGCCTCTGTCTCTGTCTGTCTCTGTCTGTCTCTCTGCCTCTCTCTGCCTCTGTCTCTGTCTGTCTCTGTCTGTCTCTGTCTGTCTCTGTCTGTCTCTGTCTGTCTCTGTCTGTCCCTGTCTGTCCCTGTCTGTCCCTATCTGTCCCTGTCTGTCCCTGTCTGTATCTGTCTCTGTCATTACATTACTTACTTACTTTTTTACACTACTTATACTACTCCGTATATACCTACGTATACGAGAAAGAAAAAATGTGCCACTGTCGAAACTATACCACACCTACCACGTACATTTTCCTGAACAGTTATAACAAAGAAGGGGAGGCCAGGCGAAGAAGCGAGTGAGAGTAGTGGGAGGAGAGAAAGAAAGAGAGAATCTGTATCCACAATGAATCATTCACTATGTAAATATTAGTCATTATTACCGTATTGCCACATCCTATTCTAATGGATAGCTGGGCCAGATAAATAAAATAAACGGACAGATAAGCGCTTCTTCGTCCCAAGCATGAAAGTGTATCATTTACCGTTTTAGGCTTGTAAGACATACAAGTATAAGCGAGAGACTAAATAAATGTGATATTTTCTCACATTTTAGATGAACTGAATTATATAAAATAGTTCGAAATGAAATTGTTCAAAACAAAATCATCCAAGTCATTATAAACTTGCCAAGAATTACATGTAAGTAATCGTGTATTTTCCTGTTAGACGTTTGTGCGTGTTAATGTTTATGTATATGTGAAGCAGCCCCCATTTCTAAAGAAGTTCGCGTGTGTGAATGTATTAGATAATCTTTGTATTTCCGTGTATTAACATATTTAAGGGAAGCCATTTGCAAAATTTGAATGAAAACAATGTAAACGTAGTGTTGCTCAAAGTTACTTGCCTGGGTTACGTTTGTAGAATGTCGTCTCCAACACACGCACGTTAATGGAAACGGTAGAAGGAAAGGGTTGGCGTATTGGATGCCGCGTAGAAGTTTAATTTTAGCAAGCACTTTTTCTTCATTTTGATTCTACATATTACACATAAATATAGATATTGGTGGAGCAACCCTTTTGAATATAAACTGTGTTCATCAGGGGAAGAGGGATGCAGTCAACCCAGATAGCGGATGATTGACACGCCGCCCCTCCTCGCACCTAACTCTGCCGTTCCTCTTTGTTCGCTGCTTTGTTAACCTGAAAAGCTAAATCACAAGTTCGCTCCAGCCACTCCCTCTCTTCCCCATCGAAACCATCCAACATATGCAAACGGTGCGTCTTTCACTACGTCCTCCTCCTAATTGCTGATGGTGCCTGGTTGCAGTCGAGCCGCGCGGAGGAGACGCTGTCCGCCCAACTGCAGTGCCTGCGCGACCAGTGCAATCTGCGCAAGTCCAGTCTGCAGGACCACCTCACCAGCCTCGAGGTCATGCGCGACGAGGTACGTACATTCCCACCCCCTCCCTCCACCCTCACTCGCAACACGGCACCTTCACAGAACGAGCGACTCTTCGCAGGAAGAGGTAAATTTGTGAAGTGTGTTAATTCATAATCGGACCGTATGTATTTCATATCACCTAATGAAACAAACGAGCTTCACCCATTCGATAATATTGTGATGGATATAGTTGTAAATTTAATATTATACAAACGTTATGGGTAAACGGGTTTTCAACCTATGGCACAAATGAAGATTATCAATCAATCAATCATTTAATCAGTCAAAGTCACTTCCTCCTAGTATGTGACTTTGCAGCTAATAACTCATAAGAAGAAGTACATAATTAATGTAAATAATAGCTAATGTCTCGGAATTGAGAGGTAGTTGGCGGTATAAAGCTTACACCCTTTGAAGCAGTGGATCATGTTATTTTGCTTCCGAAAGCACTTTTTTATTTTTGATATTTACAGAAGGAGTCTCCTTGTTAACGAACTTTCAATTGCATCTGGCTAAATTTCTAAATGCAAGGCGCCCTTTACAACACTTTAAAACCACGTCGCATCTAGTATTCGCAAACGCTAAACTTCAGTATTTTTTACCTGATTATCATTGTTTTCAGACATTACTCTCGGGAGAGACAAATTAAAACAAGTCAACACATGAATCTTTTGTAAATAAGCATGCACTATGCAATTTATTGTAGTCTCAGCTCAAATTATTTTTCGTTTTCTGCCTTTGACTTCGGGGCGCCCTTCTATTTGGAAGTGCTTCAAAGGGAAAAAATGGAGCTATTTTTGAGGAAATGGCGTTTGAGCATTTCTGAAAATGCGGAATTGTGAGCTATTTTCCACAGAAAACTGAGTTTTTCAGATACTTTATTTGTCATTATTTAATGTATATTTACTTGTAAATATAATAATTTGAGCAAATTGCCGCTAATATAAATATTAACGACGTGAGAGATAAGTCAATAAATTACATTTTTGTAATTTACGAAAGCCATATGGCGTCAATGTCATCTTATAGAGTACATTTAGCACAATCAATACTAAAAGTTTTAAAAGAATTTGAATCGTTTTTGAGAAAATTGTGCTTTTGTAATATTTTGAAATTGCTCATATTGTTCACAGTATTGCACAAAAACTACTAGTTTTCAAAAACATGTACATGATGTTTATAAAAGAACTCACTATAGAGAACATTTTCATTTGAAGGAAAAATCTCTATATTCAATTTCTATATTCAAGAAGACACCTTACAAATTTTGAAATCATTTTGAAATTTTCGAAAATTTAGAGTTAGACCTGAATATCGGACCTGTGTCACTTTTTTAAATGTATTTTACTACATTTTTATAAGAATTTTAAAGACATTTGTTTGAGAACATTTTGAAAATGTCCGAAAAACTTCATGTAAAATACCCCAAATTTTAAAGATTTTATTTTCAAAATATTTAAGATTCGGCTCTAACCAGATTGACGCGGTTTTTTTCAATTTGGAAAAAAATCCTACGTAATGTGTAGGCGCTAGTGGTGTTCACAGACGGACAGACAGAACGGACGGACGTTTTAAAAAATTGCCGCTTATGTAAATATTAACGACGTGAAAGATAAGTAAAAATATTACATTTTTGTATTTTTGAAAAAAAAAAACACAAGGATATAACAAAAAGGCGATTATGTTGTCTTATGCAGTATATTTAACACTACCTCCTCCCTTCGTCATTACAGTTTTTACTGTTTTTTTACTGAATAAATCTAAGTCTTTTCCAAACGGTTAAAGAAAACATTGGCAGTCGTGTTTGAGAAAATTTGGAAAATGTCCCTGGGGCTTATTGTAAAGTTCCCTCAAAAGTTAAAGAATGTTTTTCAGAATTGCAAAGCTTCGAATCGAACCAGATCGACCGGGTTTCATCGATTTTGAAAAAAAAAAATGTACGTTTTGTTCAGGCGCCAGTGATGTACACGAACGGACAGATGTTTTTAAAAAAATCAACCCTTTTTCGGTATCATTGGACTCCAAATCGTGTTTTTCCGGTGAAATCTGGAAATCGATTTTCCGCAAAATTAAATAACTTTCCTATACTACGTATAATATTTCGTATATACGTACGCATAGGGAAAGTAATAATAATTGGGAAACATATTTCTCATTTCACACAAAACGCGACATACCTCTTAGATGATTAATGTTTTCGTGAAATTAACAAGAATAAAATAAAGGATCCGTTCATCAATTGCGCTTTTCCTACAAAACAAGCTCAAGAAGATAATTGCCATGTCTTTGAACCCGCCCTCCCTACGCGCATTTCCTCCGTAGTGAGGCAAGGGAGTGCTAAGTGTGGCGTGTGGCGTGCGCAGATCCAGCTGCTGTCGGAGAAGAAGGCGGAGTTGGAGCGGCGGCTGCAGGCCCTGCTGCGGCAGCGCGACGAGCAGGCGGCGGCGCTCGACGACGCCAGCGACCGCATCGTGCAGCTCGAGCACCAGGCGCGCGAACACGAGACGCAGGTACGCTCCCTCTCTCACACCCTCCTATTCCCTTGCCCTCCCACTCTCTCGCCCTCCGGCGGGGGAAGATCACCGCCACTCCAGCGATAAAAGCACGCACTACACTTGTGGGACCAATGACCTTAGCAGCTCCTGGAAAGACTAACCAATCAATCAATTTGCCACTATAACGAAGGACATTCGATAACTAGAGACAAATTGGTCTGGAGAAATATGATTTTTTAAATTGCAAAACAAGACTTAATTGTTATTTTTAAATGTAATCCCCACCAACATTCATGCACTTGTTCCATCTTTTTTATACCGATTGCAAAGAACTCTTTATCTTGGTTTTTGAACCAATAATCCACTTTTTTTGACATTCTCGTTAACCCGGAACGTCTTCCCACAGAATGCTTCCATCAGTGGATCGAACAAATTGGAAATCTGCTAGTGCTAAATTGGGGATGTAAGTGGGATGAAGCAGTAGTACCTTATAACTCATTTTATATGGATTCTCGGGCTCATTGAGCACTGTGAGGACGCGCGTTGTCTTGCTAGAGAATCACATCTCTCCTCTGTGGTCAACGACGTTTGTCTGTTATAGTTGGCTTCACCTTGTTCAAAAGCATATCTGAGAAGTACTGATTGATTATTGTACGCTGTTCTTCGAGATAAAAAAACCACGCACCTACAGCGTTTCAAAACACTGTCAACATGACATCCTGCAGATGCCGCCAGAACGGTGTTCGTCAACCACTGAGTCTCAGCCACGTTTGAACTTGTCAAAGTTCCCATGGTTCATACAACATTTACCATGCACCTAGGTCATTCTAGAGTATATATCATTTGGTTTTTCACCTTCAACAAGAATCACAGAACGTTTTTCAACCAATGAGGAATTTTCAAGTGGCCTCGCCATCTTTCGACTTAATTTTGAGTTTATGAACACAACAATGTTGATCCTCCCGATGGTCAGGGCTCATCCCAGTGATGGTAACTTAAAGTCTGAAAATGGCCATACTTGTCCTACCAACTGTTTTTTTTTTCAGGCCAAAGTCTCTCTTTAATTATTGAATTACCCGCATAGTATTTTGACATGAGGAATGCGTTTGAAATAGTGCGTTGCCCATACGTTGTTTCATGTAAAACCCTTAGACGTCGTCGCCGCCTTGGAAGTGTGCGAGCGAAGCAAGTCTTCTTGGCTCTGAAAGTGTTTTTGGCGAAATGTAAGCCATGCTACTCTAGTACCATCATATAAAACTAGATATTCACATATCCCCGTTGCTAAAAAAATGTAACATGCACAGTCTCTCTTCGCGCTGACTTCGAAAGAAAATAATATTTTTGATGTCTGTGCAATCAACTTGTAGGAAAACCCACATTTGCAATGTCAATATCATTGATACTGTTCTGTAATTTCCAAATATGATAGGTATTTATTATTTATGAACGTGAAAATATGTTGACAATTTATATTGGAGGGTATCAATTAGTAAAATTATAGGGTATCCTATAATTTTACTAATATCTATTAAGGTCTCTTTGAAATATCAACTTCAGTATTACAAAAATTCAAAATATTTTCTACAGATAAAAATGAAATTAGTTAGCTACAGGAGTTATATTTTTTCTCAAATACTAAAATTATTTATTAAACAGTGAAGAGGCATATATGGTGCTTTTGAGTAGTCCTGAGGGTCTCTCTGATTCTCCAGGCTCAACCCTGCATACAAGTTACATCTCTATTACAATGAGGGCAAATCAGATGGGATTGATGTTGTGGTTATCTTCTGTCTGGTGAAGACCTAATGTATTTTGGAGGGACCTTTCTCTTTTCTCCCTAACAGATGTTCCTGAGAGAAATAAGATGGGCTTTTGATACTATTTGAGGTATAGGCCTAATTCATTTTAATTGAGGGATGTATTAACTAATTAACTTTATTGAGGGAGAAAGGAAGATAGGTAGGGTTAGAATGTTATTTTGTAGGTGTGAAAAAAAGTGAGATTAGGGTTTAATGGGTGTTTTGAGAAAGGGTTATTTTTAGTTGGTCATGTATATGTTTGAAAACATAAGCTTTCATAACTGGAGTCAGTATCTAGGTGTAGTCATCTGTGCCTAGGATGCATCATCTCCAAGGCAGCCATGTATGTATTAGTTTATTTGGTGAGACAAATTGGTTGATTTTAGAAGGTACTGATTAAGAGATTTCTTAAGGCTGGGTGGGTTTGAAGAGTGCTTTGGCTAGCAACATTAAGAGAGAACGGTAATAGAAGGAAAAATATATGGGGAAATTATTTGAAACGAAGAATTTAACTTTTAAAAAGAGATTTGTTATTTTACTGAGGGGACATGTGTTGCGTTTGTGAGTCATTAAGAGGGTATTGGAGTTGGTTACATCAGAGGAAGTAATATCTGTAGTTTAGCCTGGTGTGAGAGTGTTGCTATTAGATTAATATGTTCATTTCTTAAATATCTTGGTGGAGTTGGTATATGTTTTTGTGGGGTTGGATAAATTTAATGCATTTAAGGTTTCTGATGAGTGTTCTCTCAATTGCCACTTACCTCTGCTCTTACATCTCCTTCACAATGACCCCTCTCCCATCACCAAAGTTGAGCTACCTGACAAACCTAGTGTTTTTGCTTTTATTTTACAACACTGTTTACTGTAGGTAATTTTTATTTTTTCACTTGCATGCAAATCCAATTGAATTGCACCTCACACTTGCAGCAAGTAAGTTTAATTTTAAAAACTATTAATAAAATATATACTGTTCTGTCAAGTGTACCTCATTGGTATCACTGAATGAGTACAATTACGTTTATTTAAAAATAAATTTGTTTTTTTTAAATTATTTCTCTCAGGGGGAATAACAGATACATTTTGCACTCCCTTTTTCCCCAAAAAATTACCAAAGTGGTAAAAATGCTGTCTTTTAACATTTAACAATTATTTAACAAAAAAACAAAACATGAATAATGTATAAAATATATTAGTTGATTCCATGTCTTTAAAATGCAAAATATTTCCTGTATGTACTTGTATATATATGTTAGAATTTATTTAACCGTTGTGTTAATTTATTTTTTAATTAATTAACATTAATAAATAAATTTATTAATGTTAATTTATTCTTTCATGTTACTTCAAGTCAAAAATGTTTTTGTTAATTCTACATCCAATATCTGCAATTAAAATATTTGTGTCTTTGGGTACAGTTTCGGCAGAGTCAACGCGAACTGGAGCAGCTCCGAATTACTAATAGATTACTTGGAGAACAGTTGGAACAGCAAAGTGCAAGTGCTATTGGATCTACAACCACCCATCGCTCATTACTCAATGAAATGGAATGTGATGGTTGTGAAGACAACAAAAGCCAACTTCATTTTGGAATCCCTTCTGACACAGTATGGATACTTATTTTTGCAAAAATAGAATTTATTTATTCAGTATAAATGTGTAATTAAAAACACAATTGATTTCCAAATAATATATAATTTGAAAAATGTTGTTCAAAAATTCTTTTGATAAATTTGTAATAAAACAGAATAAATGAGAAGAGGCAAATTTCCAATAATGTGTATTTGCCAAGAAAGGAAAGTTAAAGACCATACAAACACACACACAACTTTTTTGCTATGAATTTCTTTTCATATTCAATTCTTCTTCTGCTTTATTTGTACTTAAATTTTATTTGTATAAAAATGTAAACAGCTTTTATGATTTTTTTTTTTTAAAAAAACCTAATTTTTGTTTTCTTTAAAAGACTCCTTGATAGTATAAATATCTTGTGTGCAGGAAATCCAACTGCAGCAAGAAGTGGAATCGGCATGTAGAAGGCTGAGAGCAATTTGTATAGAGCTGAAAAGCTGCCAGCAGTCCAATGATGCCAGTATGGCAAGTGCTTCTGGCATGGAATCAGCTTCCAATAGTTCTACCAGCAATGACAGTGGCTATGAACTAGTCAAGGTAATGCAAATTTAAATGCTTTCTTCCAGACAACTGTCTTACTGTTCCATTAGAATACTTATTTTTAAAACGAATAACTTCTAAACAACAAATATTTTTAATATATCTTTTTTTCATGAAATCTAAGAATTTGATGGGCCACATCACATTTCTCCCTATGAAGAAATTATACACAAATTGTATTAAAATAAACAATTTATTGTATTCAGCTTACAATAATACATTCATTCAAGTTGGAATCATAAAATTCTGGAATTATTTGACTTTCAATATTATTTTATTATTGTTTTAATTTCAAAACTGTATGTTTAAAATGTTGGATTCAGAATACTAAAAAAAAAAGTTAGGTAGTTTAATTAGTCCTGAAAAAAATAAAACCCATCGGATGTATCATCCAAAACAAGCCAACTACTGGGGCCAGAGGGGCCAACTACATTTCTGGGCCCTCAGTCCCTCTAAACTTTTTCATTTGCACGACATATCATAGTAGAAAATAAGTAAAACAGATCACAAGTAGAATGAAGTTATAACTAACGATCCAATTAATAAAAACATTTGAGTTTATGCTGAACGTTTTAGAGGGTTGACAGATTGCCTTGTGATGTTATATAACAATTCCCCAAATTATGAGGTGAAAAAGTGGGAAAATCAGAGATTGAACATGTTTACAGGAGCCCCTTTCAAAATTTGCAGGCTTTCCTTGCCCTCCCTGTGTGTGATGTAATTGTGAAAGTGAAAAGAAAGTAAACTTAAGTCTGTTCCCTTAGACTGGGCGACTCTCTGATCTGGTGGACGAACTGTGCTCACTCATTAAAGCGGGCAAGGGTCACAGTCGCACAAGCTCTACATCTAGTGGCATTGGCCTGGAGCTGGAGCTGGAGGCAGAGCTGCACAGGGCGAGAGAAGCTCTAGAAAGGAGTGAACGTGCCCTGGAAGAGCTGCAGGATCAGTTCAAGAGAGCTCAGGAGCAAGTGCAGGATCTCCAGAGCAAGGTACTAAGGCATCAACACACAAACACTTTGGTTGTATACGTGGTAACAAGTAGACATTAGATTTTTAGGCACCTAAAAGTAAGGTTGTTCTTAGGTGCCTTAAATGTGTTCTTACAAGATGAAAGTAAGTTAAGTAATTTTTTATGTAGGGAGACTTAATTGACATGAAAATAATTTTATCACAAACATTTTATTATTCTTAAAATAGGATAAAGAGCATTAGTATGAGCTATTAAAAGAGACACATCTTCAAACATTTCAATTGTAAATAAAACGTAAAATTATAAACCCTAAAATGTCAAAGATTTTTTTATAACATTTACAATTTTACACCCAAAGATTTTTTACAACAATTTTAACCCAGAATAAGATCTTCTCAGTGTGACTATTGTGTGTTTTAATACTGGAATATCAGGGAAGGTGTTAATGATTTCTTCCTCTTCTGATGCAGAATGCAACCTGTGTAATCAAGAATTTTTATTTAATATGGATTAGTGTGGATTTCAGCTTTAGGTCCAGGAAAGCTTTTGAATTTATTCAATGCAGTTTCAAATGCACCAAAAATGCATTTTTAGACTTTTGCAGGGCAAACGGCATTTTCAAGTTCTAATAGTGAAATGACGATTTTTAAGTACTATTTATGATGTTCCTAGATATTGCTCCCTATTAACTTAAAATATAGTATTCTGTTTTTGTATTAAAAAATGGCCTTAAAATTATGATTTCTCGCATTAATTGTATCAACTACAGATGAACTTGGCAACTAATGAAGGAAGGTAATGATTGAAGAGAGTAGTGGTAAAGGGTAGTGGATAAACTATTTTAGCATTAACAAGCAGGTGGCATGATCATGTTGAATCATGTTAAAAGTTGATAGTGCAAAAACAAACTCATTAAGGTTGTGGGCATGTAAGGGTGAGAGCATATGAGCATGTTTAGACTTGTTTTCTGGACTACTAAGAGTAAATATAAATAATCTGTTGTTGGATTAGTTCATGTTTCAACAAACTAATTAAGTTTAATATTATACTACATTCAGTTCATATTCAGCATTCCAATGATACAGGTTTTGTTATTTCATTTCTGGAATATGGGTTGCAGAGATTGCATAATTTCTCCTGACAGCCTCTGCTATATATGTGTTGAATATGTAGTAAAAAGTCAACAAAGAAGCATACTTGAGTATGTGAAGAAAGTTTATTTTGTGTATTTCAAACTAAAACTTGGAGATCAAACACGGGCTGTGCACAAGGTGGGCAGAAGATGTGAGGAATATCATTGTTTGTGGTTTAAGGGTAAGAAAACCTCATTTTGTTTTGGCCTTCCTATAATATGGCATGAACAGAAAAATCATAAAATGGACTGTTACTTCTGTTTGGTAGACAACAAAGAATTTAATAGAATAAATAAAAAATCTTATCCTAAATTTGACTCGGCTATTCATCCAGAGTTCCATGGTTCTCAAATACCAATTCCACAGCCATTTTCTAATTTAAATGACATCCTGAGTGAGTCAGAGGACTCCGATGCATTAGCTCCTCAGAACGAATCTAGTTCAGATTTTTATGTTCATGAGGAACCTTCAATTTTTTTCTCAAAGTGAGCTCAATGACCTAGCAAGATACTTAGGTCTTTCAAAAGATGCAGCCGAATTAAAAAGGATCAAAGCAAAAAAAACAAACCTTCTATCACCTGGGACCCCATTTTTATGGTACAAATTTAGGCATCAAGAGAGAGAGATTTACTCAGTTTTTCTCCAAAGAGGGAAATCTGGTTTATTGAAATGATGTTCATGGGCTCATGAAGTGCTTTGAAATAGTACATAATTCATCAGAATGGTGTATATTTGTTGATTTGTCTAAAACTAGCCTCAAACCAGTCTTGCAACATTATGGAAATGTATTTGCATCTCTTCCTAAGGGAACCTCAGTTCATCTAAAAACGATGACGATAATTGTTAAGAAAATTAAATATCGAGAGCATCAATGGATGGTTTGTAGAAATTTCAAAATATTAACAACGTTGTTTGGTCAGGAGGGGTCATTATACAAAATAACGTTGCTTTTTTTTTTGTTTATGATATGGTGGAGCCACATAACTGCACTGGAGGAAAAACTGTTTGCCCTACTCAAGACAATTTAAACCCCAGTGAGAAAAATGTCATTAATATGACCTTATTTCCTCCAGAACAAGTATTATTATCACCTCTTCATATAAAATTGGGGCTTATAAAACAATTTGTCAAATCACTGCCAAGATATAGGAATTCTTTCATATATCTTGTGTTCCAAGTTCCCAAAACTTTCCGAAGCCAAGTTAAAAGAGGAAGTTTTTACTGGCCCAGACGTTAAAAAAACACCTTCTAACTGATCCCCTCTTTATGGAAACAATAGGAGACAAGGAAAAAGAAGCATGGGACTCTTTCAAGAATGTAGTGCACAAACTTTTGGGGGATACTAAAGACCCTGACTACAAAACAATTGTACAACACATGCTGGCAGCACATGAAGCTCAAGGATGCAAGAGGAGGTTAAAAGTTTATTTCTAAAACTCCCACATTGACTATTTTCCTGAAAACTTAGGAGCTTATAGTGAAGAACAAGGTGAAAGATTTCACCAGGATGTCTATGATTTTGAAAGATGTTTCCAAGGACAATACGGTGTCAGTATTATAGCTGACTACTGTTAGATGCTCAATCAAGAAATTAAAGAAGGAAACCAGAAACGAGTTCAGAGAGGCATCAAAGAAAAGAAGAAAAGGTTTCACAAGACACAAAAATAGACCTAAAATAGTGTTTAAATAGCAGAAACAATTTCTTGATTACTTGTAAGAAAATAAACATGTTTAGTTCACTGTAAAAAATAAATTTATTATTTGTTTCAGTTGACAGTCTGTGAAGCAGAATTGTCAGGTACAAAGGAAGAACGTGATAGAGCTAGAGCTGATATGGAAAACTCTCACCTTGCTCGTGATGAGCTGCTTCGCAAAGCATGGGAGACTCGTGATGGAGCTGTTGCTCGTAAGAATCATGTGGAGGTGGAGCTTGCCAGAACGCGAATAGATGTTATGCAAGCAAACAGTCAACTGTTGGAGGCCATTCAACAGAAGGTGGAACTGAGTCAGCAACTTGAACAATGGCAGGTAAGTGTCAGATGACAATGGCAGGTAAATGACAGAATACATTCCCAAAGTTGTGTTGGGGCTTTTATTAGGTACATCTCACTGGTGCAATAAAATGTAAAAAAATTAAAATGTTGAATGAAAATAAGAGAATGATAAATTCAATAACAATAATGATAATAAAGTATGTCAAATCTTACAATTAACACAGTGAAAGTGCAACCAAAGAGAAGCGACATTAAAATGATGCAACAGATTTACTTTAAACTTAACAATGTTTATTAATACTTTTCAATTTTGCAAATTGTATGATATTATCTTAATAAAAAAAACAACTTGTTTTGTATTTAAGATGGACATGCAGTTGTTGCTGGATGACAATATGCGCCAAAAGTTGACCACACAGGAGCAAAGAAATGTTGCACCAACCACAGGAACAGGAGCAACAACAGCAGCAACAACAAAGAGCACAAACAAGCCATCTAAACGATTATTTGGATTTTTCCAACGATGATGAAATGTGACACTGAAGTGAAATTCAATAGTGATTTTGAGTCCTATTTTTGATAACCTCACATCACAAAACAGAATTCACGTGGGTCCCACATGTTTCCTAAGAAAATAATTCCCATGTTTTGATCATTTCATTCAATTTTTCTTGAATGAAATAAACAATCCAGAGAGTGCCTCAAATATTAGAAACAAAATTATGTTGCAAAAAAAATTACATTCAAAGACACGACATTTTGAAACAAAGTTTAACCACTGAAGCTTGCATACTAAGTGCTAGCAATGCCCAGATGTCATACATTTATAAGAACACATTCTAAAACAAACATTAAAACATCAGGAAATCATGTACAGAAAGTCCTGTCAAAATTGGTTATTGGCAATAAGTGACTTAGGGGATACGAGTGCAATGTTTCCCAAACTCAAAATTTTTATAAAAAGAATAACTCAACTACAATAAAGCCATCTAACAACATACACCCCGTAACGTTGTATGAATTCTCTACAAATAATATATAAATAAATTATATTTGTGTTTTTATATGAAAATTTGGAAACTGCATCAAAATTTTCCAAGCACAAAACAATAACAATAACAATTTTACCAAAATCAGTGAAGCATTGGATTCCAATGCAATGTAATGTAGATGTGCTTGTATTCTAAAATTATTTTGGACATATTGTAAATTTGGAGTATCTTTTCTATACTTGGTAAAACAAACTGATTCTACTTCTATTGTAAATATATAGTAGCCCCTACTACATTTTTAATGGCATTTTTCTTACACTATCTTTTACAAGTACTAGAAATGAAAGTACTGTTTTTCAGTTATACTCTGACATAAATATATAGAAAATATACTACACAGATCCCCCAAAGACTCAATCTTCTTTGGAAAGCAACTTTTCAATAATTTGTACCTGAAATTGATTTAACAATTTACACAGCAGGTCTACTTAAATCCATCACAGCAGAGTATTTGATTTGGTTTGATTTGATTTGTAGTTGGAATAAATTACTGCACAATCAACATTGGACCTTAATTTGCAAAAAACAACCACTGAGGTGCAGTGAATGAGGCACTAATTTTTTTTATTGCCATACAAAAAGGCAAACAAAGTATTTATCCTCTCTCCATTGCTCCTTGATCAATGAATGTTTTCAATGCATGCAGTAATTATACAAATCTGGCAGTTCATTCATATTTCTATGAATCAGCTATAAAGTTGCTAGTCCTTATTGCCAAGAGTTTGGCATATAAAATATTGCTAAATTTTCATTGAAGCATATAAATTACAAAAGAAAAAGAAAAACCTAAGGTATTAATTTCGTTTAGAGAGTTTTAAGAAAAGGTGAGTAAAATATATTACTAGTTTTTAACTTACGATTCTATTAATGGAATGTAAAATTATTTAAGTAATACTTGATTCTTTTCAACTTATTTGGATGTAACTGTTCAGATTATTTAATTAGATTATAGTGAAATGTTTTTTTGAATGCCAACTTTATCCTTCATTGTGTACTTTGTGCACACATTTTGGGGTGTTGTGTGTATATGTTTTCCAATGTTACTGAGTGCTACACATGCATGTGTATGCAGCAGAAAGTAATAAAAATGCATTACTCACTATTGTTTAGATTGTACTGAACTTTAATGTAGCAAAATAGAAATAGGTAAATTTTAGACTTTTCGGAATCTTGTTAATCAAATTAAGATTTTAGAAAATGAAAGTTAAGACACTTACCACAATCAGATTTAAGATCCCTTTCATATTCTGAATACTGGGAAACATTTTCATTTATTTTTATACTTTCTGCAGCAGAAAACTAAATTTGTTGTTACATATATTGTGTACTTGTATGTAAAAAGTTTTGTTTATTTTTTTCTTTTTTCTTGATGTTTTGAATTACATAGTTCAAGTTGATATTTAAAACAATTGTTGTTACGTATAAAAACTTTATGAGAAAATTACCTATTTATGAAATGTGACCAGGTCACATTTTTTGTAGATATAACATGTAAATATAAATAATATACCACCAAGTGCAATTACAGTTAACACGTCCATGGAAGAGAGCTTTAAAGTGTACATTTATTAAATAAAGAAATAAGTTTATTTTAAATATGTATATTATTTTTTACACCATCCATTCCCCCCTCCCCCCACAGAAATGACTAACAATAAAAAATGTGGAATTTTAATGTTTTATTAATTTTATGAGCCGATTGCAATGAGATTTTACAACATTATGAAGAAAAAACATATCGTAATTGTGTAAGAATACACATTGTGATGAATTGTAGTTGTTTTTAACAGTGTTGAGCACCCCCACCCCACACACACACACTTCTCTCTCTGTCTCTTCTCTTTGGGGGGGGGGGAAACAAGCATTCGCTGGATTAATAGCTAACAGCATTAACAACTTATTCCCCAGGATCCAAACGTGTCTGAGCCCCAAAATTTACGAACAAAAATGGAATTACTAATCTGAAGAACAAAAGTAGTTCAGTTCAGTGTTGTACTGAACTCTTGAGGATATAAATGCAATACCAAGAAACAAAATACAAATTTGTCTTGGTTCCATATTGTAAGGATAATGGGGCACCTTAAATAAAATTGAAGAACGGAATCGGAATTTAATTTATGTTTGAACTGTTATTATTGCAAAGAATACTCGTGTTTAATACAGGTCGAAAAGGTATAATGCACAGCACAAGACTGAATCACATTTGACAATGAATGACATTTATTTTTCTTGTTCATAAACAAAATGTTTCCAACATAAAGAAAAACAAATAATTTCAATATCAAATTAAAATTCAGCCACCCATATTGCTGTCCTTAAACCCACACGAGATTACATTAGTTATCACAGTAGTAGTGTTATATTTTTCTATCATAAGTTTTCTTCAAAATTTTTAGGTATAGTCATTTGCGTTTTTAAGCATTTAATTTAAAGTTTCGATACTTTACCTTTTGTGAGACGCAGCGCATTGTATTAGTCTTTTGTCGTAATATCAACCTGCAACATCTTTGACCTGGGAACATTCAATTGTAATGCATTGTGATGCCATTGCCCATGCTACTACCTGTGCTACTACCAACTTTCGGAAACGTATCTGTACTTGTATTCACGTAGAAAGACCCTAACCTAACCTTGTAATAATATAACGTTATTTTCTCTAAACTAAAGCAAACATGAAGGAAAAACCATACAGGATGTTTACAAAACAGTTTCAAATTTCAAAACCACTATAATTTGAAATATCAGATTCAAAATGCAATATTGCAGTATTACAACTAGCAGATAATCATCTTCCCCATACGTCACATACAGTTTTTACTACTTTTTTTGACTAAATAAATCTAAATCTAAAGTTACAAACGAGTGTGCGGAATCTGAGCACGTCGGCGTTCTGTGTGCGGAAGACGGGGCAGAAGAGCGAAGAAATGGCTGCGTACGAGCGTTTCCCGGTGCCAGAAGAGAAAGCAGGAGAGAAGGAACGAGATGTTTGAATTCTGGATGGGAGTTGGTACAAGCGGAGCGCGAGGAAACTGTGTATAGCGGGGTACACGAACCGGAGACGACAGAATCGCGTTGAACAAATCTCAACTAAGTGTTACGCGTCGGCGTTCGCCAAAGTTTGTCAGAAATAAAGGATAAGATCACGAAACCCGGCGACAGTGATAGTTTTCACACCCAAAGGTGTAAATGTTGTCAGTCGCTGACTCGCACATCCCGCCGAATTGAAGCAGGCGCACCGAACTGTGAGAACATCTGACCGCGTGAGAGCGTAGGAGTCACTATGTATTTGGACCTTCCTCAGGGCGTAATGCGCGGATATGGAGAGAGAAATTTGGCCTAAAGAGAAGTTGCGGCCTACGTCGGAGAGACGTTAATATAGGGTGCAGATAAAATGGCCAGGAAATTCCTAGTGTGGGCACAATTCCACAACAATTCATGTTCTATCGGGAAGCACAAGTCTCCGGGGTGGGCTCCTGAGCTTTTCGCTTTTAACCTCAGCCCCCGCCACAGCACATGTACGACAACGAGCCGATATGCGGGTCCAGCCGGAACCCAGTCTGTCCTCTCGGCAACCTTCCCATTCAATGCCTGAGTTGGGTCGCCCCGCTAAATAGGAGCTACTAGCTTTACAGGCCAGTGCCGGCCAATATCACCGTGTGATGACGCGTCACTCACATGTACCAGGACACTGAGTCACTGCCACGACGAATCCGAGAGCCCAACTAAGGTCCGGGCGGCTCGGAGCTCCCACCCCGTCTGAGCACTGTCTACACCGTTAGGCTAGCGACGCGAGTACCGCGGAGAACCTACGCAACCTGATGGTAGGTAATTTCCCGCCGGATCTTTATGTGGATTCCAGAGCGTTCCTAAGAACCTCCTTCACCCAATCCTGCCCACAGATTGTCATGCCAGGGACTCAATGTGACTGGTGATCTACCGCGTTTATCCGGCAAACAGGGGCTTGATCATTGCCTCACTGCCTCCGCCTTGAAACTAACGGTGTGAGTTGCACCGTGAAACTGATGGTCCGGGTGGTCGACTACAACTTTCCACCAGAGACCATGCCTACCCACGCACATACGATCCCCACTGCGAGGCATAAAATATTCAGCTGGGAAAGCGGCCACACCTCCGCAGCGCGCCTGTGCGCGTAGACGGCTTATCTGTATTTTTTTTTGGTGTTTGCACGGACTGAGTACGTGCGCTGTGTCGATTTAATGATAAGAAAGAGAAGATTTGGGCTGATAATAGTAGAAGAGGAGGAATTTTCTGCATGCGCTTTTCTAGGAATGTTTTAGATTGTGTGCTAGTAATCTATTTGTGATTTATTTCTAGGTAGTTTGTGATTTATAGATGTTGCATAAAGCGAATATCGGTACGGAATCTTTTTGTTCTTGACTTTGATTTTTTAATGAAGTACTGCTGGTTTCAATGAAATAGTGGGACTAGACGGGGATTTTGAAAGATGTTGATTCTGCTAGTTACTAATTCATAAATTACATTCGTAATAGTTTTTAACTTGCTTAAAAGTCACCGTAGATTGTTCCCGATTCGGGCCTGAAAGCTGTTCTAATGAATCGGTTTTCTGGTGGTTTTCCGTGAAAGGTTTGCTCGAGCGGTGGTGGCCCAGGTTGCGCAGGGATAGATCTCTGCACTTCTAATGCGTGAGATATACAGTAGAATCTTCGTGCCCACTCTCAGTTTTGGCGCTCTTAATAGTGGGTCGAGACGAGCGACACGGGGCTCGATCTTTTTAGCTGCTTCTGCGCACTGCTCGTGCCATGTAAGCTTCTGATCAAATTTGACGCCTAAATAAGTAATTTTTTCCACGGGACATTTTTTCATCGACTTGTATAGGGAGTGGTAGGTCGTTTCGTTTCCATGTGAACATAACTTGCTAGGCATTTTGTGTTTCAGTGTAATGCCGTTTGTTTTGCACCACTTAGTGAATTTGTCGCTTTCTGAAGGCGGCTGACGGCCCTTGAGGCCCTGAGGGCCACGTAAGGGCATCGGCGTACAGGTATTCAGTAATGCCAGGCGTTTGCGGGAGGTCGTGGAGGAATAAGATTCAAAGTAGTGGTGAGAGGGCTCTTGAGGTCATCCTACTTGAATTAGGCGAGGAGAGGAGAGTTGGGATTGGTAGCAGGTTTGAAAAGTTCTATCGGGGAGGTAGCTCGTCAGAAGTAAATAGAGGCTCGAAGGAATAAACGTACAGATTTTTTCCAACAAGTGCGATGATTAACCTTGTCAAATTGATAAGAAAAGTCAAAAAAGATTGCAGGGAGCGAGGATTTGAAGGAGAGAATAGATGCTTCCATGGCTAATCGATATGTTTGTAGCGCCGACGGGCAGACCTTCGTAAAACCGAATCGTATGCTTCTTATTGCGGATTTTTTGTCTAGTTTGCTTCTTAGGTGTGGCAGTAGAAGTCCTTTGAAAACTTTTGAAGTTTGTGATAACAAGTTAATGGGTCCGTAGTTGTTTGCATCCTGTGGTCTTTACTCGGTTTTTGAATTAGTATTACTGTGGCGTTTTTTATGCTGTCGAAAAATAACAAGTGCGCAGGCAAGCATTTAGGATTTGATGTAGAGTTTTGATGGCCCTCCGATTGTAACAATGGCCGTGTCTATTTCTGTTATTGTCGCATGATCTATGAAAGAGTTGGGGTATTTATGCGCGTGTGCGGTATTGTTCGTCACACTGCTATGGCCGTCCCACCGCCCTGTCTATCGTTGCTCTATCATTCCCGAAATATGGCATCCTCGCAGACTGAAGTTACGGTTACTTGGGAGAAAAGTTTCTTGAAGGAGATGAATTTGAATATTGTAATCCTCATAGAATTTTTCAAGAAGTTTCGTACGGATACGATACCATTAATGTTCCATAAAACGTGGTATAATCGATTCTTAGCTATCGTAGCCATTTAAATAGCGTGTACAATAATAATAAATGCGTATAGAGCTTTTGTTATCTTGTCACCTGGGACCATTGAGGAGAGATACAATATATCTCTACTCTATGCCTGGGACCTTCATTATTTCGATCGCGGCTTTGATTGCAGTTGTTATTTTTGAAAAGATAAAACTTTTTAATAGGGTCTACAGTTTCTTTCAGATCAGTGAGCTGTTTAATTGTTGACATTCTTCAGTCGTATTTTCTTTAGCTGTGCGAGCGTTGTTGCAGTTATAACAGTAGATAACGTAAATTCCCTTCCTACTGGGCTGTGCATTGTTGCTTGCGCGCCTGCGCAGCCGTTTTTTGTCCCCATGCGAGACAGGCAGGCACTGGGAAACGTGATCTTTATTTTGGCTCTTCAGAATGGATCTTGTAGTTTCATAGGTATTTTACAGTGTTACCACATGTGTTTAGAGGGATTCCGCCATGTTCGTTTCATTCTCCGACGAAAATCCTCTGAACTAGTTTTAAATTACCCGCCTAAATCCGCTAAACGTAAAATAACTTCTTTTTCCATATTTAAATATTGTATTAATTTATTCTATTAAAACAAACGATAGAAAATCATGATAGAAAAGGGCAAAAGCTTATGAATGCATGAAATAGATAAGGACAATTGCTTATTCTTGGTCATAGCCGTTGTTATTGGCGTATTCGAGCCCCAATATTTTAAAATGATAATAAAGGACGCACTTATGTAGACTGAATTGTCTGTCTTTTATTATATTTTAAAATGTTTCTGCTCGAACACGCTATGTGTCCAGGCCTTAATAGTGAAGATTTGAAATTCCGCTTATTTTCCGCCGTTTATTCCACTGTCCGCGAAACTAATTTTTTTTCCGTCGTACGAGTTCAAAATCCGCTGAAAACGGCGGGAATTCCGCCGATATGGCATCACTGGTATTTTATGTCACGCATTTTTGTGAGGTATTATACTCTCTCTCTGGTGATGTGTTGTTCACTTCTAGGGCATATAGCCTAGCAAGTTGAAGTTTTGCGGGCCGAATTTTTTTTTAATTCCCCATGTGGGTGCACTGTTGTAATGCCATGTGCTTCGATTTCTTCTTTAATGCTCTCGTATGGTATGTTCTGATCTAGACCTGTCGTATAATTAATCTGTGGCGGTGTTCCTCTGTGGCGCGGTGGTAGTATTATTTTAGTTGTGTCTTTTAGCATCTCATTTAGGAGTTCGTCAATTTTGGCGACGTCGAGTAATGAACCTGGTTCCCCTCCACTCGGGTGATCGGCCCGTGGGCCGTACAAGGGAGCGGGCTCCCCGGGCCCTTAGCAGGAAAAGCGGGGACCGCGACCGGGCGTCATGGTAAAACAAAAGCTTCCGTTCTCGTGGAGACGTAGGCCCATTGAGGTTTCTCTAGATGTTTGAGAATCTCCACAGCCTCTTTTATCCTCCTCCGGCTAGGAGGGGGGTGTTATCAAATGCAACGGCGTGGCCAGTTTTCCATGCGTGGAGGGATTCTTCCGATTTATACATATTATTGTACTTGTAATGGGAAAGTGTTCACGGAGGCGTCCCGCATCGCCAATGTAATTGGGGCCGCAACTGTACGGGATCTCATATACCCCTGAGGACATAAGAGGAGGGATGCGATCTTAAAGGCGTGTAAGTGTTGCATCGATATACAGACGGTCTACAAAGCTCAGGAAAAATCTCGGGCAAAAGCTTATATGCATTAAAGATTAGTCAGATAAAGTTAGAGTCAATTCTTGGTACTAATAATTGTAATCATAGAAAAAGCATCACTGTCAAAATAAAGTATAATTTAATTTCAATAATATTTACAACGAACAATTAATTTTTATTATTCTAATTACCAGGTGAAATGTGTGAATTAATTCATAATGAGTAATTCATCTTTATCTTTACAATCGAACAATGCATTTAACTTGGAAAGTTCTGCACTTAAGTTTCAATAACATATTAAAAAATGTAATATTTTGATTGATAACATTAGTATGTTATGCTTTATTGCATTGGTATATATTTGGAAAGATGCATCATTAGGAGTGAATTTTCAAATTTGTCAAAAAGCAATAAACCTCCATTATAAAAAATGCCTATATTTTTTTGTATAACATGATTATAAATTTATAAAAGAATCAAAATTTATTTTGGAAACAAATTTTTCAAAGCAGTTTTGCAGTTGGCAATATGCAGTGTTGCAATTCTGACATCATACAGGAAAGACAGGTGCTGAGGATGGGTGCCGCTGATGATGAGCAGTGAGGACGAGCGATAAGGATGGTTACTTGAAACAAGCGATGAAGATTGATACAGGCGGTGAGGCAAGGAAAGCACTCAGGATGGTCACAGAGGACAGGCAGAACGGCACGCAGGGAGGACAGGTGTGCCATAAAATGCCTTATCATGAACAATTTCGTACAATAGGAATGATTGTTTATAATGCAGGTATACAAAAAAGGTATTGTGTCTCATCGTCAACTGAATTCAGTTACACCTGTGAACCACAATAGGGTCATTATATTCTTTGAGTTTAGTGCTAGAGTATGTCCCCAAGGATGCCACTTGATACCAGAAACAATGATATTCCAAAGTTCAGATTCAGGAGTTTGTACTACCGATGCCCCACTGGCAGGTGTCCACAAGCAAATATTTGTGCTTGCAGAAACTGCAGCCAGTCGCAACGAACTTGGATCCCAAGCTACATCNNNNTAAAATGGATTCTACCCATCCTACAATAAACACCTTACATTGTTATAACTAATAAATTAAAGAGGTTCACTTTTACCCTGTCAAAGAAATAAAATGTAATTCAACAAAGAAAAGAATAAATATGCAAATAGCAAATCTTAATACATTTTTTTTCGTTTTCCTTACAGCTTCAAACAAAACCTTAGATTGGTAGGCATGTTACTATGCATTCAACTATTTTCTCTGTGCCCTCTTTTCTTTCAACATTCATTTCATTAGAACCTCTCAAAGAATGAAACACTTAGAGAAGATGAAAAGTCTTTTTTAAAAGAGGAAGTCTTTTGTAAAGTAAATTCAATTTTTCTAAGAAAATTAAAGAGTTGACATGTGCATGTCCCTCTTCTACAAATAATATAGGTCTTTTGAGAATTAATTATTTCAGATATACATTCACCTATTTAAATAAAGAAATAAAACAATAAAAGGAGAAAGAAATGAATAACATGCTTAACACTATAGTCATATTCACCACTTACCCACAATAGGTTTATCAAAAGATAAAAATGTGTGCAGAATGCCTGCTTGCACATTCCAAATCCACAAAGTAGCTGGCATAGTTTCACAACTGGACACAAGGAAGTGCCCACATGTACTAAAATTATTCAACCATACTCCACAGTGGTATGTCAGTTCCTTGGGGCACTTTGCTCGAGGGGTGATTGACACTGGGCGCACTGCCACTACCTTAACTGAAAGTCATGTTCATATTACAAAAAGGGTACACCTCCATCTTAGTCACAACAAATTTCTTAAGATTAAAGAAAATTAAAAGAAGATTAAAGAACTACACAGAAATTTAAGATTTTGTTTTTTATGTCCATTGTTTGTATTTAAACAATCATGATATATTTGTTTTGAATTTTTTAACTTGTTGCTTCACAGCATTCTACAATATAAACACCTTTTCATTTAGGACATATACTTTATGGAGTTTTCAAACACATTTACATTTTATGGAAATTACAAAATTATTTCAACTGAATTTTTACTTTCTTGTATACATACTTACATACTGAGCAATATACATAGTGTAGAGAAATGAAATGTTACTGAAAATTGATTTTGAGATCTCAACAGAAATGCGTGTTTTGGGGTCCTCTGGTACCAAAAAAGGTTTTTTCAAAACATTTGCCTGTCTGAGTTGTCTGTAAACAACGCTAGCACCTGAACTGGGCATAGAAGTTTTTCTAAATTCAATAAAACCCTAAGGATATGGTCTCATTTGAAACTCTGTGATTTTGAAAAACATCAATTTTTGGGGGTACTTTACATTAAGCCCCATGGACAATTTCAAAATTTTCTCAAAAATGGCTCCAAATTTTGTCTTAAAAATTTCATGTAAGAATAGAGTGAAATGCATTCACGAAGATGACACAGGTCTAATTTTTACTGTTAAATCTAAAGTTTTGAAAATGGCAAAAGTTAGAATTTTTTTTGCCGTCTTCCTACAGCCACAAAATTGAAGATATTTTTCTTTGAAGTAAAATTTGTCCTCCATAATCAGTTCTTTCATTAAGATCATGCATACTTTTTTGAATATTTTAGTAGTTTTCATGTGATATGTGGAATATTAAAAAATAACAAAAACAGCTCAAAAATATTTCTTCATATTCATATTCAGAAACAGTCAAATGCTATTTTCTCAAAAACAGCTAAAAATTGTTTCATTACACATTTTTTATGGATAGCACTAATTATGCTGTTTAAGATGACATAAAAATAATTTTGCTGCATTCTTTTTTTCTTTAAAAATCACACTAATATAATTGTTTTGAAATATCTCTAAAGCCATTAATATGCACAATACCAGTGATGTGTATACATTATTGCATTGAAGAGTGGAAACGCTTCAAATGACTTCCAACGGTTTTTCAAAAATTCAAACTTGTTCTGTGAAACAGAACATTGAATTTCGCATTTGCAGTAATGTTTAAATGCCATTTACTTACAAAAAGCTCCACAGTTTGCAATCAAAATTTAATGAAAATATGGAAATTTTCATTGAAAAATGTAGGGCTATTTTTAAGAAAATGTTTAAGTGTTACTGTAAATGTGAAATTTGAAGCAGTTTTTCGCAGAAAACTTTTGAGTTTGAGAAAAACGTTATTGAAAGTGATTTGAAGCACTTCCACTAGAAATGCAACAATGCAATCAAATTGCTGGAAATGTGCATATGAGCAAGAGACATTTCAAAGAATTACATTTGTATAATGTTTGAAAAAATAAATGAATACATTAAAAAGGCTATTATGTCACCTTACAGATTGGATTTAGCACTATCTGTAAAAAGTTGAAAAAAAAGAAAGAAAAAATCTTGAGCTGTTTTTGATAAGAAGCTGCTATAGCATTTCTGAAAATGCAGAATTTTGATCTAATTTTCTCAGAAAACTTTTGATTTTTCCAGAAACTTTATAAGACATCTCTAAATCAATTATATCTACAAATCCCCATTGACAATAATAATGACATGAGAGAGAGGTGTCAAAAAAAAAAAGGTAATTTTTTAAAAAGAAAAGAATGGGGAATAATTGTGTTTATTTCATCTTATACAGTACATTTAGATTACTATCCCTATCAAAAATTTAAACAAAAAATTTGGAGGCATTTTTGAGAAATTTTGGTTTTTCATATGTTTCAATAAGGCACATATTTCAGTCGATATTGTGTGTAAACACAAACATGGAAAATGTAAGTTAACATGGAAAGTTGGACCTACGCTATATTGAAGGGTATTTTGTAATCTTATTACAAGAAATATTTTTAAAAAAATTGGAGGCATATTCGAGAAAATTTTGAAAACATCACAGGACTTTATGTAATGCCCCCAAAAATTAAAGAAGTCATTTAAAATCATAGAGCTCGAGTGAGGCCAGGTCGACCAGGGACTATCCAGTTTGAAAAAATTCTACGCATTGTTTAGGCACTGGGTTGTTCACAGATGAATGGGCATTTGGAAAAAAGATCTTTCGATATCAGAGGATTCCAAGACAGCATATTCATTGACACAAGATATATTTCCGTTGAAATCTCAAAAATGATTTTCCAGCATCATTTACAATAACCTTTCTCTATAATTATGCTACATTAGTATATATATATATATAGATATAGGACTAATGTACATAATAAAATAATCAACCATTTTAACGTCAGGTTTATTCCAGTTTCTTTTAGCACTTTTTGAACAAAAAGATAAAGCAAAACTTTAAAGTCGTTTTGGAGAAAATCTTTACTCAACATTATACAAAATTGACTAATATTAAAAAAAAAACTGCATTGCACATAACATTAATTGAAGAACTAATTATAGAGGACAAATTTTATTTAAAGAAAGACTTCTATTTTCAATAATACAGTTACATGAAGGGGTTCAAAAAACTTCCAATGTTTGCAAGTTATGAAAATTCAGAATTAACAATAAAAATCAGATCTACACCACCTACATACATGTATTTCATTCTATTTTGATACAACAACAACAACAACAAAATAAAAAAAACTATAAGAAAATTTTGAAAATGTACCACAAAATGTATGTTAAGTATCCCCCAAACTTAAACAATATTTTACAAAATTACAGGGCATGAGCTAGTTATTGATCATGAAATATTCATTTAGGGAAACATTCTCATGATCAGTTAAAAACAGATGGCCAGACAGAGGGAGAAAAACAAAAACACACATGCACCACTTTCGGTATCATGGGACACCAAAATAAGTATTTCCATTGAAATCTCAAAAACCATTTTCTGCTGCATTACATAACTACAATACAGATATTTCATGACATATAGATATGCATACAACAAATTAAAAAATACCTGGAATGTTGGCATTCTGATTTGAGCAGATATTACTGAGTTACATTTTCTCCTTTCTATGATTACACTTACATAAAGAGTGATATATCTTTACCACTATTAATTATGGTTTTTTTACTTTTAGAAGAAAAATATACAAGAAAAAAATCACAGGAAATGAACTCACATATTGATTTATAGCAAGAAGAATCATTATTATTTTTTTCCCTTTCTGGAATAGATGAATCACTAGGAACTAATATTTCTTTGTAGACTGTGCACACAGAAGAATCAATTCTTGCTGTATGCTCAAATACATTAAGTTGGCTCCAAGTGATATGATTCAACAACCGAATCTGAAATCAGAATTTAAAAAGAGTTTGACACTGTTTTCAAAAAATCTGGAGGGAATTTGTGCCGAGATAGAATTTTATAAAGAATTTACAAATTAAATTTCACTCATAAAATCCAGGTCACAAATGAAAGCCACTTAGTTTTCAATCTGGTAAATATTTAAATATTAGTTATGTAACTTTACATCATGGAATTAATTTTTCAAAAATTTCTTTCAAAAGTTACAAAACATAATATACATAAAATTGTTACTTAACAACTATATACATCAAAATTGGATAATTAATATGATTGTTGCTTTACTGTCAATTCTTACAAAACTGTTTGATTTATATACATTATACTTCTAGGCAATGTAAAGGAGATACTTTAATTTCATTACAATTTCAATATCAAATAACAAACTGACCTTTCCGTCATAGCAGCCTAGAGCTAAAAATTGTCCTGATGGAGACCATGACACTGTCTTCACGCCCATCGATTGTCTTTCAAAAATACAGACGCCATTTTTCAATAAAGAAACAATAAGTACCCTACATATGTCAACTCTCCGGTCCCAAACGCAAATGGTGTTGCTATCAGGTGCCCAAGATAAACCTCCAATTATTTCTATTTTGTCACATGGATAGCGCTGAAAGGAATTTCAAAATAAGTTAAACATGAACAACCAGAGTCTTTCTTCAAAATGGAGTGGCAATACCTTTGATAAGTGCCATGAAGTTGAGGAGAATGTAGCAACACAAAATGAACTTTCATGTTGTTCTATTGCTGCAAGTAACTTGCCATCAGGACTGAATTCTACCACTGAATTAATCACAGACTTCAGATTGTAAATGTACTTAACTGACAGATCTGAGAGGGACCAAATGCACACCCAAACCTAAATAACACAATATTACCATCTGTAAAACATTTTCTTCAAGCAATAGTATAAACTATATAATACTATCTCTCTTACATTGAAATTTGCTACTGTTAATATATGTCTACTGTCTGGGCTCCATGTTGCCTGTTTAATTCCTACATCACATTCTTTGATTTTACATTTCCACTTTGGAAACTGTAGTGAAAGCACCTGCACAATTCCACTTTGATACAGAGCACATAATATGAATTTAGAATCTGGAGACCATTCGATGTACTGTAACAGTTCAAAACTATATAAATTATAAGTAATATGATATAAATTTTGACATTATACATCCGAAACTAACCTGAACAATATCTACTGCGGGAAACGTTCGAACTATTTTACTACTTCGAACATTCCGAACATAAACATTGTTTTGGAAAGCATATGCAATATATTTTCCATCCAATGAAAACTTAAAAACATCTTTTTCAACGCGGAAAACCTCGGAAAAACTCATTTTACTCCATTACATTAAATCATGCAATTTGTCTCGAGACGCCAGTAGCTTGAACAATACATTGCAGCCAACATTACAACCTGGTTACTAACCAGTTAAATACAAAAAGGATATTAAATAGGCCGAGGAATCAAATGATTGCTATTTCGAGTAAACCAACTACAGCATATTGTTGTACTTAAGTAATCAATATACGAAGTAAAACTACTAAAATAGACGATTCAATATTATTATTATTATTATTATTATTATTATTATTATTATTATTATTATTATTATTATTTTATAATTATAGAATACCTTTGATTGTACACTGTTTTAGACATTTGCTGGGCTATTCAGTGGACTTGGACAGGATTTGACCCAAAAAACGCGAAAGTAATTCGTTTGATCGCGTTGTACTGTAATATAGAGACGAAAATTATGAAAATTTTTTTTTTATTTCAGACTGGCAACAATTTTGTGGTATGATCATTGCTCCGATTATAATCAGCGCAATCACAGTGGTTGCTGATGGTTGCCACCAGCAGGCCACCAGTTGCCACAGAGCACCCACACAGTTATAGTTTCTGATTACCTGGTTAGTTGAGGTTGCTAGCATTGTATCTCAGAGCAATCACTGAGACATCCATTGTGCCGACAAAGAGGAAGATTTGGGTTACTTTTAGTGGACCGGCATTGACAGTAGTACAATTCACCGCGGCTTTAATAACTGATGTGTATATAAATGATCTGAATAACAGCAAGTGATGTGCATCAATAAAGAAATCTGACGTGAATAATCGTGTTTGTCTTGTGATTTTTGTAAAACACCACTTCTGTACCCAAGTGCAATGGCAGACGTACGCGATATTTTGGATTTGGAACGTCCACCCACCCCAGAAATCACCAAAGAAACTATATTGGGAAATGATAAACTAAAAAGGAAACCAATTGCCCCAAAAGTTTCAAAACGACCAGAAGGTATGCATCGTGAAGTATTTGCTTTGCTTTACACTGACAATAAAGATGCCCCTCCTGTATTTCCTACTGATACCGGGCAAGGATATAAGCAAATGAAAGCGAAATTAGGCATGCGTAAAGTTCGGCCATGGAAATGGATGCCTTTTACAAATCCAGCACGAACTGACGGAGCAGTATTTTACCATTGGCGTAGAGTAGCTGATGAAGGGAAAGAGTATCCCTTTGCAAAGTTTAATAAACAGGTTCCTGTGCCAACATACACAGACTCAGAATATGTTCAGTTGCATATTGATGGATGGAGTCGAGCCGAAACAGATCATCTGTTTGACTTGTGTCGGCGCTTTGATCTTAGATTTATTGTTGTTCATGACCGTTGGGATCGAACCCGCTTTCAGTCCCGCAGTGTGGAGGATCTGAAAGAACGTTACTATAATGCATGCTCCATTCTTGCACGTATGCGAGCCCCACCTGGTCAGGAGCCGAAGATGTACGTGTTTGATGCTGATCATGAGAGACGTCGCAAAGAACAACTGAGGCGTTTGTTTGAACGCACCCCTGAACAAGTAGAGGAAGAGCAGACTTTACTAAGTGAATTACGAAAGATTGAAGCTAGAAAGAAGGAACGTGAAAAGAAGCAACAAGATTTGCAAAAGCTCATAACTGCAGCAGACAGCCAGGCTGATCCTCGGCGTCCAGACAAGAAAGTTAACAAAAAGAAGCTTCCTCACCAGGTACGACCACGCAATGATTCAAGTAATTCTGTGGAAACAGCTGGTATAAAGTTTCCTGACTTTAAGAACAGTGGTGTTAGTGTAAGATCTCAACGTATGAAACTACCTGCAAGTGTTGGACAGAAGAAAATAAAAGCAATAGAGACTATGCTAACAGAACTAGGAGTAGAGCTAATGCCCATGCCCACAGAAGAAATTTGCCAACATTTTAATGAGTTGCGCAGTGACATGGTGCTCCTTTACGAGTTGAAACAGGCGTTGGCAACATGTGACTATGATCTTCAAACTTTGCGTCACCAGTATGAGGCCCTGAACCCAGGCAAGACTCTGGTTATGCCTGGTTCAATCTCTGGTGGAAATGTTGATGAAGGGCCCAGCAGCACCCAAGACACAGAACCAGTGCGCCAGCGTGTTGTTTCAGAAATTATTGATGTTGTAGGCTCTCCTGGTACACCTTCAGGGTCCTGAAGTATTTATATTGTTTCATCTTAAGTACTAAAATTTAATGCTAAAATGTCAGATTTCCATGTTGCTTTATGTTGGACAATGTAGATTTTTATTAACTTGTGTAATATAATCAAAAACATTGATCAAGCATTAAATTTATTGTGGAGCAAGGTACTTGTAGAGTCTACACTTCGACTAATTTTGCATTGTGTTATCAGTGGAAATTACTATGATAAATTTTGCGGTAAGTGGAATCTTACATAATGCTAGTTCATAGTAGTTAATTTTCTCGTGGTCCAGTATATGTATTTGACTGCATGTTACGTAAAATTTTTTTTTGTGATTGATTATTGTAAAAATTAGAATATTAAACTATAAGTTGTGAAAAATATTATGATTATTGTGTCCCTTATTTTAATTAATCCTTTTTGTTTTGATGTCTACAAATAGCAAATCTACAAATAGTGTAACACCTGTGTTGTACTTGTTAAAGCTGTGTATTATTGTTCATGAGAGGTTGCATCTTCTTCCTCTAGCATTATGTTCCTGTGAACGGTAAACATCTTTATACTCGTCTTTGCATGGTTCATTCTGGAAACTGCTGCATATATGTTAAACAATCCGAACAGAGCATGCTGATGCTGTGCTGATTTGGGTTATGATCCTGAGTAACAAGACAAAATGCAAATACTTGTTTTCTTTGTAAATTAGTTCATTCCAGATCCATCGTAAATCTCTCTCCACCCAAGCACACTTAGTCAATGTGAGGTGACTTGGATAGGTAATGCATGTAATGGTGTTGAGGATTGACAGATATATGATGCACAAGAATCAGATTGCTGGTGTGAAATTAGGAAGGTCACTGAGAGTGCATAGTTTCAAGTTACACTATTCATGTGTAATTTTAGGGCTAAAACATCACTAATTTTGACACATTGGCAATAAGACCAATAAATTAAATTGATAAAATAAATCTATTAATTAGAAACATTTAAACAAACCACAAAACCAAGTATTGGTTCAATTTAAAAAACAAATAAGTATGTAAAAGGTGGGCAGCAGTATTGACAACTGTCAAGATTGAAATGTATATTTAAATAATAAAACCAATAGTAATGATATATTAGCACTAAAATTGCACTCTAATACTGAAAAACAGTAAGAAACATTTCAACAAAAATTGAATTTTTAAGAAAAAAATCATGTTTGACAGATGCAAGCTGTAAAAAAAAAGAACATTCCAATTTTGTGATCCTAAGAGATTAATCCTAATCATTCGTCAAATCAAGATTGTTGAGAATCATGGCCATGAAACATGCTATATCTGAAAGAGATGAAAACCTATGTTAACCTCCTTTTAAACTTCAACTTGAGTGGGTCACAAGTTAACATCAATATTTCTTGAAAAATCCTTTTTAAAAGTTATTTTTTTAATTAAATTTTCATTGTAGGGGGTGTTGAAAAAAGTATTTTTGGATCCCCTTGAACAATATCATTACTTAGTCGATATTCTGAAGATAATGTTAACATTTTCCGGATGTCTGACATGATTATTACTTTTACTCAAACATCTGGATAAAGTGCGAATTACCCATATTTTGGACTTAAACTGTAATAGATTTTAGCTTTTTACTAAATCAAATTGTGATATTAGACCTTCATTTTGCATTGAAGTGGTCTTTTAATATTATTTGCAGGTGGTAGGGAGGGATCTCTGTAGTTGCCCCAGTGCATTTTCTCTTATTTCATATGAGACCTGTAAGAAAAAATGGAAGCAGTAAGACACATCAGAGTTAATAATATGATCAACAAATTAGGATAATATTCAATTCACTTGGTATTTGGTTCCAAATTCAATGTTCAACAAATTTGTGAAAAATACTTTAATGAATTGTGATCCTTACATTTACATATATGAATAAACATTTTAAAAAATTAATTACAAAAATCGTAATCTAACACCCGTGTTAATTCATGTAGGCTACTAATTGTGCATAACCAATGATTAGGTTACTACAGATCTTGATATATCTTGTAACACTGATACATTTTCAATTCTTTTTATCTGGTTCTTATGTTGTTAATTTACATTCAATTCCGTTTCTAAATACATATATACACGTACATTCAAATTATTTCATCCATAGATACCAGTTGCTGCAGACTAACACTTCGTGCATTTGTGGTTGGGGGAAAAAAAAAAAGAAAAAAAAATTCAGAGAAGGAACATATTTAGCATTGCAATTTACTTCCACTTTTGGCAGCTGCTCAGTTTTCAGCTTTCAGTTTTTCAGCGATTTGTGGAATGCACTTTTTAATTTTTGTGGGTTCTGGGCTGTATCCCCACATAATCATCTGTGTGTGCTCTTTACTGGGGAGGCCTCGCAGAGGCTGATCAGTTTCGAAGAGAGGGATGTACTCCTTGCGAATGCGTCCGTTGATGTCTTTGAGATGCCTGTTACGCTGGATGTCCCACGTGATTGTCTCTTCATCCTCCCCTTCTTCGGATCCTGGCACTTTGGTGGTCCGCAAGGCACGGGAGTCTCCTTTGAGATCCCGAAACACCTGTGAGGAATTGTGATGTTAATGGTAGTTGAACAGAGATAACGCAATGCATTTGAAAACTCTTAGAATAAATGAACTTTACTTTTTTGAGAACTAATCAGGCGATAAAAACTTGACTTATTTCAATCAATCTTTACAGGCTGCTAAAAGTAATTTTGTTAAAATTGTCAAATTAATAAATGGTTCAAAACCATGCTAAATTGGTTGAATTGTGGCTTTACTGTATTTTCTTTTCACATGGATTGGTTATGTTTATTGAGGCAACAAATTTCATAAAACAAGGCATTTTAGAACTTGGAAACAAATTAACTTCATGCAGGGCAATGACACTTGCAAGAGTTAGTGATGAAGCCATTTACAATGAGTTAACTGTAAATGAAAGCATTGACAAAATGAATGCATGGACATAACCTGCAGCATGTAGCAAGCAGTGGCCAAGCAGTAGTTGTCAAAGTGGCCGCTTATTATAGTAAAATTGTAATTTCTATATTATAATATATGTACATGTATGTAATCCTACTGCATTATTTTTTTTCTATATTTGATCATTTCTTATGAACTGAAACTTGATATATGGAAGTCCAAGATGTCTTGCTAACATATAAGCAGCACATATCCATGGTAACCCAAGTTCATAGTTTTATTTTACGTGAAGAACAATCATAGTGTAATGAATTGAGTCAACATTGGAAATCAAACAGATGTATGTGGTCAGAAAAGTAGTTGGTCATGCTTAATCACAGGTTTAAGAGCTACTTTTCTGAAGCAATATTTTCAAATTCTTTTTGCTACACTTATTGCTGAATTAAGTATATATGCCTCTTGGGTGTAGAAATAGTTATCTAGAAATCTATTGAAAATAATTACTTTAATTATTAAGGTTGAGGGAATTGTGGCTAATAAAGATACATACCTGCAAAAAGTTCTCACTTGGTTTATCTGACTTAATGCCGTATCGCTCTGCTAATGCTTCATAACCCTCCATTGACTCCAGAGGCAGGTAATTGAAATTTTCACGAGATCGATTGTGTGCTTTATAATCATTCACCCAATCATCAAAAACCTGTTGGTAATCCACTTCAAGGTAAGTCTAGAGACTATTAATTATTTTAAAGTAATAGATCTATTATGAAACTTAAGAATATATTGTCCATAGGTCGAGGATAAAAACACAAGCTTACCTTGATTGCTTCAGTGAGGTTGGCAACTTTCTCTGTGTCCTTGGTGTGAGAGAGAATAGTTTTGGCACGTCTCATCAGAGATGTTACAACCTAGAAAACAGGACAAAATTATGAAGTATATACTAATTTAAAAATTACTTGACAAATGTGTGTATCCCTTTATACCTAGGATAATTTCTAAACCTTAAGAAAATTTAGCATTTCACAAATTTGCAATATTGAAGTTTTGTAAATATAGATTATTTAGTAATTGTCGTTGTTCTTAACATAATTAACATTGTTTCATTAGGCTACTCAATTTTTTTAATAGTAACACACTTCCATAATTAAATTGTTAACTATTTGAAAAGTTCTTCTTATCATCCCTATCCGTGTTTAAATTTCAGTTATCCCAGATTTGATAATCATATCATCTTTTAACTAGCACTTGCTTACATATTTTTTGTTCAGAGAAAAATATTTATCTTTTAATATATTTTATTTAAATTATTTTAAAATAATGTCAAATTCATGAATGCATTCTCAATAGCACCTAGAAGTTTGTGAAATGTCTCATTTTATTCATTATTGACATCATTCACAATATCTCAGGAAAAATTAAAAATTTTTGGAACATTTCACTTTTATGCTTGACAAATATTGTCAGATGACAATTGCACTGTGAAATTCAATTATGTTTTTCAATCTAAGAGTCTCTAGCATGGAACACAAATGTATTACTCTTTAGCATGACCAATGATATTAATTGCTTGTTGTATTTCCATGTTGTGTCTGATGTAACTTTCCTAAGCAAAAATCAATCTGTATAGTACAAGAGGCTCCAAGGAAGATAACAGATGTTTGGCCAAGACCTGTAGTGAGCTGAAGCACATAGGAAATTTAAAAAATAACATCTTGTTCTGTTTTTTAATTATTTTAAATGTGTTGCCCAATAGAAGAGCAGGTTTTTCTGCTGTGGGCCAATAGATTTCAATTATTCTAAATCTTTTAAATTTTGTGATTGAATCTATTATATATGTTAACAATACTAGGTACAAATAATTTATTATTATTATTATTATTATTATTATTATTATTTTGTTTCTTTTTAGTGAGATACATTGTCACGGGCACTGACAGCTGTGGAAGCTGGTGATGATACTTAAGGATTGCTGTAACATGTGCCCCAAATCTGCTTTACATTCACTTTTAGGATATTTGACAAAATCATTTTGATTATCTTTAAAGCTAAAATGCTTTTGTTTCCTTTTAACAGACATACATCGTTTCTATGTTGAAAACATACTGCCATCATGGCAGGTGTCGACACTTGGGTTAGCAGTCTCATACTGCACTGTACCCTTCATACATATTAAAAAGGCATTACAGATTTTGTTGCATAAGAGTGGAAAATATTGCTACAATTCTACATGCCCTCCTTTCGAGAATTTCCATCAACGCATGCCCAGGGATTTACAGCCAAAATTAATAATTTATTCAGCAAAACAAATAAGAACCAAATACTAAACTGGGAGAAGTGGCTCAGCACATCAACTGATGTCACTGCAGTGTCTCTGACCGGGAGGTCCTAGTTTCGAGCCCCGACAATGGCAAGATTTTCGACACTGGCTTGTCAGCTAGCCTTGTCCTACCCTTCCTTGTCGTATCCTAACCCTTTACATTATATATATATATATATAACTATATATATATATATATAGATATATATATATATAATATTATATATATATAATATTATATATAATATAATATAGCGGGGAAGATCACCGCACCTCCCGAGAAAAACATGCTCTACAACTTTTCGGACTAATAACCATCGTTAGTTACGCGCTCGACCAACCGAGCGTAAATACGAAATGGTCGTGGAAGGGTACCTGGTATTGATAGGCGGAGTCTCGCTCGCGAAGCTGCTCGAGGGTGAGGCGCGCGCGGCCGGCGTCGCGGAAGCCCGCCGTGGGCACCGTGCCCACTGCGCCCTTCTCCTCCTCCGCGTGCCCGTTGTCTCCGTTGGCGGTGCCGTTGCCGTTCTTCACCGGCGACTCGTAGGGCGCCGCCGACACCTCGCTGCGCTTCTCAGATTTCACCTTCGGCATCTTGCGCTGTTGCGATCTCTCTCTTCCTCTCTCGTTATCACTCGCGCCTCTGAAACACAAGCAAATTCGACATTCAAGCAAGTTGTTTTAGATTTCAGCTTTAAGAACTTTTAATTAAAAAAAACACAATAATTGATATTTTTTACGATTTACTCATTCTTGAAACGTACGAACGTGAATTGACGACTTATTGCTCCTAGGTACGGGACTCTGTACTTCCGGTGTGAGGTCACCTCGTAAGGTGGGGATCCCTTCGGTAGGTGGGGGAACCCTCCGAAGACGTGGATCCCCCCCCCTCCCTCCGTAGTGGGTCGGGTTCCCTCGAGGTCCGGTGGAGGTCCTCCCGCGAGGTGGACTCTTCGGTAGACGAGGAACCCCTCGCTTTGTGAAGGTCCCCTCGATAGGTGAAGGACCCCTCGGTAGGTACACATGAATTTCAGTACAACCTACTTTAATGTTGGCGGCCTTTGATTCATTTTATAGTCAATGACTATAAATACATTTACGGTAAATAGCATTATAATTGAAAATTGTATAAAATATCTGACTACTATATCTCAACTAATAAAATTAAGTTAACATTAATTTTAATAAGATTAAGTTAAGATTTTATCTAGTTCTAATTTCCTTTTCAATTTTTTAATAATGTTTTTCCATCAGACCTATCATCGGCCCCTTGACTTGCAGGGCCCCGAGCGTTTGCCCGGTGTGCCCATGCCTAGCGCCTAGCATTGTTATTAATTCTGTCTCAAATTTTACATGCAATGCGAGTTGCTTATTGTTGTTATAACGTATTGTTTAATTTCCAGTAGCGTAAGAACACGAGATCCCACCCTCATGCATTAGCAACATTCGTCTGCCAAAATTTGTTCGAATGTACCGGTGTGTGAATGTTAAACTCGTATACACATGGAACTAATAGTATTCATACCGTTCACAGTATGTTTTTCAAATATAAAACATGTCAATGCGATTACAATTAGACTATAAAACGCTAGTAAATTACTTTTATTTAAGTAATACGAGAGCTTCATTATTTCGAGGAAGTTTGTTATCAGTGGCAGCTCTCTTTACCGAAATCGGATTAATCAGAGGCCTCCTACATTTCCCGTTTCTCACGCTTGTCATATCGTAATATGTCAACCAGTGCTGTTTGCCGTTTTGTTTTTTAGACACGAAATTCATATCGTTTGGAAATGACTCGTACCTTGTTATGTAGTGCATTTTAGAACAATACGTTAATTAATTTGAAAGCTTGTTGAACGAAGAAGTGAATGCTGAAAGAGACGACCCCTCAACATAAAAAATATTTCTCACGTAGGTCCGGTGTCCGTGAATCTGTTTATGGGTGTCGTACATTTTATGCAAATGTCTCAGAACTGTCTATAAGTTTATTGTTTTGAAACAACATTCCTCGTCATTAAAACGAAATAGTGTCTTATAATGATTGTTTTGCATCGTATGGTTGGTCACGTTCATTTAAATTTAATAATCACGTAATGCCATTCTTGACAGCTCTAAAACATATATTCCATTATTTGATCAGGATACCTTTAGTGCGCACTTATTTTGAATTATATTGCATCGTAATACTTAGAAACAGGTCATCTTGTGTTTGTATCCAACACATGGAACAATAATGCCGACTAATATATTCTTTATGCTTGTTGTTAGAACTAGATTGAAAAGTGTGATTGCTTGGCGTGATAAGAGTTTTATTGACTACGATTCATTAAACAAAGTTGGAAATGACTACCTGCTAAGAGAAAAGTGCAACAATTTTATAACAGTGCATTTAATAAGCAGTCGTGGATCATACAATGCATGTGGGAATTTTTAATTACCAAAAGGAATTCTATTATACTCTAATTGCTATATTAGTATACATTTTTAAAATAATCACCATTTTCAATATGGAAATATGTAATTTTTTGTTACAAAAGCGGTAATATTTAATCTTTAAATTATTCCTCTCATTGCGCACTTGTTCACTCTATGTTAGTCCGTGTCAAGCTGTCCAGCGGCCGTGGCTCAGGTGAACATATATCCTCAGAATTAGAACGCTCATGAACGCCTTTGCTCTGAATCAAGAGGCAGACTGATAGGGCGGTTGTAACGTGAGCACTGTGATACATGAGCGTTGCGTTGACGCGCGTGGAATAACGCGCGTCATGGATTAACATTGGCTCTTGTAAGAAACGGCACACGGGCGCTCTTGGTCGTTCCCCAGACGAAGGTGTTAATCTACGACACGCGTCAACGCAACGCTCAAGTGACACTGGCCTTCGAGCAATGCAGCGAGTGCGGCTCCGCAGCGCGTGGCAATGAGTGCACCTGGGACGCGCGGCGGCTCGTGGTCTTCCTCAGAACAGCCCTACCCTCTCAGAGCAGGCCAGCCCTGAACGAGACCGCCACAAGATGGTCGAAAAGTCGGCATTACAGCCTTCGTCGCGGCGTCTCCCGGACAGCCAGGAGCAGTTTGTAAGCAGTGTTTTGTTTGCTTCTGTATTAAATTCAACCCTGTGAGCAAGCACCTAATCCGAAACCGTCACTTCATGCGTCCGAAATTCAACCGATTACTCCTCCTAAACCAATTACATTACTCTGTAAATTATTCTTGCAGAGGCGTGAGACGTGAGGCCAGGTGGCCTCGATGCCGATGACTACGACCCAGCCCCTCCCCCCCCCTTGGTAGAAAGACCCCTCGACAGGTGGGGCCTGTTGGGGAAGCACCGCCGCTCCCTCTTTCTACACGCCCCCTTCACTCCCGCGGTTGACAGCAAAATAACCAGAAATATTTGTCTTGAGGAAAATACTTGCGAATAATGTAGATGTTTCAACAGACAATCACAATGAAATCTTTGTTTAAACTTTTTTTCATAAAAGCGATTTCCCCCTCCCCCTAAATTGAACGATTTATGGCGGTGGTTTGACGACATTGTTATAGCACTTAACTAGCTTGTAGACTCGGAGTCAGCAGAAAGGAGTGAAAAATTCGTTTCAATTTGCTTACTTGCACAGCGCGATCACGTAAAGAATTTGCCGATTGCAAAGGTCGGAGGAAATACTCCTCGCTTATTTGTGCGGCGCGTCATTTGCGAAGCTTACTTGTGTGGCGCGTGCTGTGCCTACAGTGGTTGTTTCGTTTAGCGGCTGCGGCTTCCACCACCACTACATCGCCAACAACCAAAACAACAGCAACAATAACAAGGCCTGTCAAAGCAACTTAGGCAGCTGCCTGGAGTCCCCAACCAGGAGGGAGTCCCCGACCATTGGACGGAACGATTCACACTGAGAACACAGCACATGGAAAGTATTGTCTTTTTTTAATAAATCGAAAATGGTGATTACATATATTTTTTTTGAAAATGGTGAATTTTTGACAATTCAAATTACGTCAACACTTGTTCATGTTCTTTGTTGTTGTTGTTTTCGCAACGACCTTTCTCATTTTTTAAATTCATTTCTGTCTCGATATGTATTTTATTTTTAAAATGTAATGAGTCAAAAGGTGTGGTTGCTAGATGCCTGTCTATATCTAAGTCTATTTGTATATTGTTCAATGTCCTTCGAATACAAATAAAATTAAAGTTTGCTTTGCGCTAAATTCCCAAAAAGGAGGCCCGTCTGTAATTAGTGATTTGGGGTTCCGAAAGTGTCTCGGTCTGTCATTATAGTTAGAATAAAATTAAAATTGAAGTTTATTTCGTGCTCAATTCATTTTTGGAGAATTTATCCGAAAACAAACTTCAACTTTGCAGATTCCGTTTTGGGGCACGTAGCACGCTGTCTCTGGTTAGTGCGTGGGTGAACATAATCCTCGTTACCTGTGGCTGGTGTGGCGTTGGGCGTGTAGCAAACGGAGGCTCTGCTCACGGCGACGCTACTACCTCTGCTGCGCACGCACTGCGGTTTGCGCGGCTGCGCGCGGCGCTTCGCACTTGGCGCGGCGCGGGCGGCAAGGACGCAGGGAGGGGAGGCGGCGCAGAAGAGGGGATGGCGCGCGCGCGCCGCGAGGGCAGGCGAGGGCGCAGCGAAAAGGGGCGCTGACGTCACCTGCTATGGTAACACTTGACGTCACCCTCTCTAGGACGTCGCCGCGCGTTCACTCTCTCTTTCTCATTCTTTTGCTTCTCTCCTTGCTGCCTCCATTCTCCCTCCCCCTCCCATTCTCTCTCTCTCTCTCTCTCTCTCTCTCTCTCTCTCTCTCTCTCTCTCTCTCTCTTTCTCTCTCTCCATTCCTTCCGTTCCGTTCTCCCTAAGAACATGTTTGTTTTGAAGTGCTATTTCAGTTGTGAAATGATGTAATTGCTACTTTCCGCGTGGATTGATGTTGACTTTGTGGACAATGTTATAAGTTCGAATGTAATTCAATTTGTAAACATCCCTTTTTAGGTTCTCTAAGTCGTGAAAGTAATATTTTCAAAATTGATTTTAAATGTATTTTACCAAAATGTCAATATAAATAAATCGTGTTACTTATCATTCATTGAAAGAGAATATGTCAGTGTCACACAAGAGAGACTGACAAGGCGCTGCGAAGAGACCTCTTTAATAACGAGACATTCAGTTTAGAACACTACAAAAATAATGAGCCATTCAGGAATTGATACCTTTTTTTCGACGTGTTTGAGTACATGTGTGTTCACATGCGTGTGCTTACACCAACGAACTAGAATATACTACAGCATATTCTAGCTCGTTGGCTTATACATAAGAAATTCATTAGAGCGAAATGTATTATTACACTATTCATTATAATGGCATATCGCAAGTAACAATAATATTATCTGTAACAACTTCGGAAAAAATATTTGACTTAAAATAATTACTGTTATATTTTTTTTCGGATACCAAGTTCACGCTCAGGACGGCAATAGTACTACACGAGTACGCTCCAATAAATTGCAATTTATAAGTTCTTAAATGTACCTTGTGTTATCTACCTTTGGGTTTTCCTTCGTGCTCCTCTTGCCTACATCTGAGTTGTTTCTCAAGACTGGGAACAAGAGTAGTTCCACAAACGTTGAAACCAAGCGTGACAAATAAATATTTTTTTTTTCTTTTTGACCATATACTCAGTGAAATCGGGACAGACATAAAATACTACTTCACGAACATTCAATACAATTGATCAAGAATTTCATTTTAAAAATATTTTTTTTATTCTTAAGGTTACAGACACGTCTGGTCAATAAAATACAGCTACAGTACCACTTTACCTCCTAGGGATGATAAAACATTTTTAATTTTCTTTCCTGAGAGCTCCAAATGGTGACGCACGCGCAAAATTATACTTAGTTAAAAATTATTAAAATAATATATTACACACAACGATGAAGATACTTTACTCGACAAAGATACTTCGCTCGCTCTTATCGTTGCTTGTGAGGTAATAATACCTTCCTCTCGTAGACGAAGTTTCTCTTTTTCATCTCGAATAATAAATTGCTATTATGAACATGCGCAGGAGGTATCTCCGCGTTGAAGGTGGTGGGGCGGGAAGCGTGACCTCCGCGGTGGGCAGATGGCGCTGGCAGCGGAAGCGGCTAGGCGCCGGCCAATGCCATGCATCGGGGTCAGCCGGAAGGCGCTCGTGGTGCCCTCGCAGGTGCGTTTACTAATAAGAGGAAGGAGAGTAGATTCGGCAAAAGCATGTGCTCCGCTTCGATAGCACACACGTCGTTTTAATCTTGTCATGGGATAAGATACTATCCATTTATATCCAACGGTTCGTTAATTAATTCCCATTACTAATCGAAGAACAAACGCTTGTTTTCAACTGTATTCAATATTCAACATGTATTTATGTGGGTTAGGGTACGGGTACCAGAATTTAAGAAAGTGTTCACAGAATACAGTTCTCCCCATAGTGCGAAACATAGTTTTTTACTGTTTTTGACGTAAAAACAAATAAATAAACAAACAAATAAAACAAAGCTTCGTAATGGTTCCCTGTCCGTCCAACAATGAGAAGAATTCAAAAGAATTTCCCATTGACAGCTCATCAAACGAAGCGCGGAAAATTCAAAACTGCAATTTCAAAAATTATATATTTCGTTAAACTTCTCTTATTTTTATTCAATTGCGTATGACACATTTTTAAACTGATTTTTTAGAACAAATTTCACGTACCAAAAGCATCTCTATCAGCAATAATGTTTTTTGCAATGTTCATATTTTTGCACATTTCAAAAAGACAGAGTGCCGCGAGAATGAGTCAAGCATAATTTTACTAACCATACTTTGCTATATTAAAAAAAGTGTTTATTTTGGAAAAAAAGTTTAAAATAGTTTTAAAATCGTTTTATGTTTCACACAAAATTACGCAACAAATACTCATATTTTCGAAAAAATAAAAATGACATTATTTGAAGATCTGTTTTTGATGAATATATTTCATTAGGAGAAAAACAACTTCATAAGTCGGAAGACGCCGAGAACATTTTGAACTTTTCCATATTCGAAAAATCAGGGTTTTCAACGAAAATGAGACATGCAGTTTTCTCTTAATCGTCCTTCACACTATACATCAAAAAAATTTAGTCAAAAAAATTGAAGCCATTTTTTAAAAAATTTAAAAATGTCCCTGGGACTTTATGTAAAGTACCTCCCTCCAAAAGAAATTAAAATATAATGTCCAAATTCAAGAGGCCGCGACATCAGTCAGATAGATTGGGGAATATCAATGTTGGAGAAAATCGGATGAATACTCGTAGTTTATCCGCTAGTATTGTTCACAGAGGACGACATTTTGCCGTGTTGTAAAATTTTGGTAATATTTAGGAAAATAAATTAGAAAATTAACTAGTACGAGGATGTCTGGGTCATTCTCTGACACCACTAGTTTGTTTGTATTTGCGATATGTGCGGACGTTCGCAGATTGTGCAGGGAGGACTGTTGGATCCGCAAATGTGATAGTCTTCTCTCCTATTTCAAAAGCAGTAACTGCTGTAAAAATCAAAAGAATGTTGTAGGTGAAGACAAAATGACGATTTGCTTGGCATAATATTTCATAATTATGAAGAACATTGTTGAACTATTTATTAAGCGTAATTCACCCTATTCCATCTTCACCAGATCAACGGGCATAAAATGAGAAGCAATTTGGTCCCACTTCTAATTACATCATTACGCAAGTGAGCTGGTTATGGCAGTAATTACGCAGTAGAGAAAGAGAAGGAAAAGTTGTTGGGGGTGGTTCGGAAAGAAGCACGTTCGAACTACTGCCTTAGAATCTGCTTAAAGTTGGTTATGAGCAAGCGATAGACGTGCTTCAAATATCGGTATAAATGTAGAAATTCTTAGAATGCCCCAAGAGGACTGTAATGTCTTTTGAATGCTCCATGAAAGATGAAATGGAAATGTTTCCATGTTTTCCACTTAAAACAATGAATGAAAACTAATGGAATTAGTACCTTCGTTTACACGCACGCACACACACGCGCGCACACGCGCGCACGCGCACACACAGTTCTCTGGTTCCAGTTGTCTGACAAAGCCTCTCCAAATTTACTCAATTTGCCTCATTTTTCAGAATCAAAGAAAGAAGGTATGTTAAACTATTTCCAATATGTGTGGAAAGGTACGTGATCAAAAGATTGCTCCACTTATTCCTATTTTGTCGGCGTACAGGCGAATTGGAAAGTACGATCACGGACCACTCATTAATTTCAAAACAGTGGTTCCTATCTTTTGTTCCGCGTTTGTATTAGGTCATGGGCAGACGCTGCTTTTAACCGCGACCATTCTTTTCGGGCAGTTTTTTGCCCCAAACGCACCCGAGACCTTTTAAGGTTCGATGGGCGTGTCACCATACCGGCTTGAAGCCCATTCTCTCTGGCTGGGCCTTCCAAACTCAAAGAGGTTATGAAATCTCACATTTAAAATAGTCAATAGTGAAAAGCAGTCAAAATGTAGCACCCTGTTGAATAAATGAACACCCATGAATAAATTAGCAAACAATTAATCCAGGAGACGGCTATGATATTGGTCGCGTGAACATAATTTACATAGAATCCCAGCAAATATAGGCCCCACTCATAACTTCTAAACAGTTTCAGGATATCGACTTGTGGATTTCACTCAACAATGCAGAATCATGTGGCAAGTGATACGGTTGTTTGAAATATTCTTAGTTTTCGACAAAGTTAACCATATTTGATTTTTTAAATGAAACCATATATTTTTCACACTAGCAATAGATAGATCATAAACTAAGGATGCAGTGATGTAACGTATGTTAATATTTTGATAGTATTTTGTGCATAATATATACTTTCTGACCTGAGATTTTAAATTAAACATG